GCCAAAATAAATAGATACTTTTACATGAATAAGTCAGTATTACAATGTGAGTTGCTTTTCGTATCGCGGTTATTTTTTGGTTAAAATCATTTAAACCCCAGTCATTTCAAATTCTTTTAAGGAAAACGTCAAGGGTTCGCATATCCCAGCCCAGCCAGCCATCCCAGTACATGTACACATGTTCATGGGGTGTTGATGCCACAATCTGTAAGTTACATGTAAAAAAAAAAATTCCAAATGTTGATTTATTGCCCAGTTTTGGTAGTTGGCCGATGCAGAAAGTTTTCAAGTGACAATTCATGTTCATGTACATCAGAGGAGTTAGGTTGTTGAAGAGAAAGAATAACGTGATTGACTATTGGCTGTCAGGAATTCACCTTTTGAATTGATACCAGGAGTGAAATGTAATAAATAATCAGTTCAGTCACAGATATATGCTTGTAAAAAAAAATATGTAAAAACAATTCACTATGAATAGCAAAAACCATGTTATTTTCACTTATTCTACAACTCTACAGCGTGAGTAAAAAAAAACGAAACCCAAATGTTGGGACTATTGTTTTAGTGAAGTTCTTCATGTAGCACTTTGAAAATCTAGGATTTGAAAGCCCAATTCATAAGCTTTCTTTTAGTACAAGAATCATTCAAATCACTTGTGTACTTTTCAAGTTATGGAATTTTAAACACAACCACTGGTTTAAAGTTCTGTCCACGGATCACTAAAAAGGCGCACATTCTTTCAGCAAAACGACGACAATTCACACACATCCCTACCGGTATGTGATTTGTTTTCGTTTAGCTGAAAGAACACTGAACTTTTCTTGCGATCCGTGGAGAGAACCTTAAAACGGTGGTTGTGTTTAAAATCCCGTAACTTGAAAAGTGTGTGTTTGATTTGAATGATTCTTGTACTAAAAGAAAGCTTATGAATTGGGCTTTCATGTCCTAGATTTTGAAAGTGCTACATGCAGAGCTTCACTAAAACAATAGTCCCGACATTTGGGTTTCGGTTTTTTTTACTCACCCTGTATGACAGGGAAGTCAAAATCATTTTGATTTTGACGTGATTATGATGATTTGCCTGCATGCTTTGCTGTACCGGAGAGGGTTGTAAAAGGACAGAAAGCGCTGCTGATCATTGCAGGTCATTGATGTTTGCCCTGGACCAGTGAAGCGAGGCGTGAACTAGCACTCAACGAGACTAAAACAAACCGCCTTGTTTGTGGCTTTAGCGACAGTGACACCGTGCTACTCCAGGGAAAGGTGTTTCCACTAACAAGTGTTTCACACGTTGGTATAAATTGTGATTGAGTGCTGCGGTGTAATACAAGCTGTTGGACTATAGCATCAGCCATCTTGAACTCTGATCGAACAGCACGCGTAGTCTTCGCGGGGAAATCCATGCTGTTCCGCTACTAGTGTTACTTGTTTTAAAAAAAGGTTTTCCTTGTTAAACAGCTGGTTGGTGCACTTTGAAATTTGTCCAGTTCTAGTCCTTTACAGAACACAATACAGCACCAACTCAACACATTGGCCTAGTTTTTTTTTCTGTGTCACCTCAAAAAATATTTAACCGAAATTTGGACTTTTGCACTTGTAGTACTTGACAGTTTCATACAAATGTGGAGGAGTTAAAAGAGCAACAATATTTTGCTTGTTTGCTGTTCACAAATGGTGGTTGGGCTTTACGAAATTTCTGTTTTTCTATTGATTTTTTTGTACATATGTACATTTTGTACATTTACATGTACAGAGACTTCATAATTGTTTTCGGATCAGCACATAAAATTTTTGATTTCATTTAATTTGAAGAAAATAACAACTTTACGTGCGTGAACTTAATTGTTGGGTTTGAAAGCACAGTTTCTCATTCTTTACAGACTGTATATTCTTTACAGTTAATTTGTTATTTTTGTTTATTCCTTCCAAAGTTGCAAGCATTTGCAACCTGCAAAAAAATAAAAATTAACAGCCAACTCAAACTTGCTACAGATAAACATCGGGCGTTGCAAAATGCCACCAAGTGCTGAGCATATTTGATCAGAATTTTGGGGGTTTTTGTTCCCTTTTCAACCAACAAACATCACATGATATGATGGGGAGGTTTCTGCCGGCCTTATCTGGCCACCGAATCTCGAGGACACATTTTGCTTTTATGAGGAGCTGTCACGGGAAGTTCTAAATGGCCCTCTTGTGTCACCCAGTTTGGGGCGTCTCGGCCCCTCACATGGTTACTTTTGGTTTGGTGTGCAAACAAGTTCTCTACCAGTGCAAATGAAACGAGAAAAAAAAAGCTCCTCGCAAACAAACACAGGAGGCACAATGGTAATGGGACTCTTCTGTGTCCCGGGGAAAGGCCTTATCGGCAAACTTATCTACCTTAAGTTGCTTGTTTGTGCGTCAGGGCCGTTTTTTGGGGTGCAATTCATACCTGGCCTTATCTGATACTTACCTTATCCGGTTAACAAAACTTCTAGATACTGGGTTTGCAATATTCACATTTCACATCAGCCCTTATCTCTCCTGGCAAAGGGGTGTTGCAGGTATTCCAATTTTTGAGATTTGATTTATGTTTCGATTTTGGCCTGTGACTCTTCACCGGTTAAAATTTTTTTCCTTAGACCAAAAAAAAGTCTCCGGTTTCTGTATGGAGCTTGCCCCAAAAGTGGTGCGGCGACGCGGTTGGTTTTTTTTTTTTGGTTACTTTTTTTTCTTCAAATGTCGGCTGATGACTGCAAATGATGCCCGACTAAATTTAGTGCAAAATAAGAGTCCAGAGAGGCCACATAAAGCTCATACTCGACCTTTTTCATTTTGCCAATGCGCATGACTACGGTGACGCGCGGGCATACCAGAAACCGGATACTTTTTTTTTTGGCCTATTGATGTGTGATAAAAGCATCAGCAAAAAAATCCCCTGTTTAAAAATACTGATCTTATTTTTAACTTGTGAAACAATGTTGTCGCAATTCATTACAAATTCACAAATTTCATAAAAGGTTAGGATTAAAAAGAAACATCACTGCTCAATTTATTTGGATATTAATCATATAAACACATATTGATGTTGTCTTCTTCAATTTTTCTACAATGACAGAAGCAGAGAGTTTTCAAGGGGGAAAAGGAAGATAAAATGGCATACATATCTGACATGGTCACAACAGCTGTCGTTTTCTGTCAGAAAATAATGAATATTCTGTAGTTAGCGCTGTAATTATTGCAAAAAGCTATTAAAAATTAATCTCCATCTGCCAAGGATAAAATGCACTGGGCGTATTATCACTATTATATGTGCCATTGAGAGATTTTTTTTTCCTTTTGAGAAAATCTGGACTCTTAGGATGAAAATGTCTTTTACTAGGAACGTACCTATAAGAACATGCACTATATTCAGTAAGTATGTTCTTTGAAGGACAAACACTATTCAGTCCTGGAAACGTGGCTTAATATGATTATCCCAAAATAATTGCAAAAAGGAATGCAAAGCAGGCAATCAGTAAAATTATCACCAGTACATTGTATTAAATGCAAGTTCAAGTTTCCTGTTTATTTGTCACAATCTAAACACATCATGAGCAATGTGTCTTCTCATAAAACATTTCACTTTGCGCCCAAGGGAAAAAATCACAGTAGATTTATATTGAATGTATATATTGCTGTACATTACTACATGTACAATACATGTACATATTGTCTGTTCGAGAAAAAAATTATAGGACTGTCGATTTTATACAACAGAAAAATTCACGGAATTATGGGCTCTGTGCGCCAACAATTGAGGGCGCTTTTCTACCTTTTTTGAGAGCCCCGTGGACGCGACACACCCCATGTGTGTGCTGGTTTGCACGCGTTTGGCGTAAAGTACGCAGGACTAATTTTTATTTGGGATGTGCACAAAACCATAGTGTCTTCCCGTGAACGTCAGATGTTTTCAGTGATGCGTTCGAATGTCTCTCCCAGTGGTCTCCCCCAACTCTTGCCGTTGAGGGGGCACTTGTTCATGGAGCCCATGAGCCTCAAAGAAAAGCTTTAACAAATTCAAATGCTGCAAATGAAACATGGATATCATGTTTTATTGAAATATAGTTTGAAATACTTCTAACCATGCAGTTCAGCTGTTACATTTAACTGAAAACATCGGTACACCAAAAAATGAATTTGTCCGAGTATGTCCAACACCATGGTGTTTCAAGCCGATTTCTACTACATGTACATGTATGTACAGCAAAAAACTTACACGAACAAGTTCTTTTAAAAATAATTGTAGTAACTGATTCTGTAAATTAACTTCATGATTATAACTTAAATACGTACACTGTTGAATTTTCCAAAATGAACATACCGTGGAAGTGTCCATACATGTAAATCTACCTATTTTTTAATCTGATGAAAACTTCACAGTGCATTTATTCCTAAAAGATGAAGACATTTATATTCTGCTATTGCCTCTATACCTAGTTGAAACTTTATTTTTAAAGTTTTTTTCCATTTGGTAAAAATTCTGATTACAGAAGATTTGGGGCCTAATGTTAAGTTTGATAACAATAAAATTGTACATGTACTGTACATACTGGTACATACATTTGCAATGAGGAGAGTTGATAATTGTGTCAGTTTGGGTATTTTTAGACCTGATTATGGAACCTTTAGCAGAACGTTTGTAATTCATTCTGCAATGGGTTTTTCTGTCCTTGAATATGTACTGTATCATGGGGAATTTCAATTCAGTTTACAGAAGAGATCATGTACTGGTACTGTACAATGTTGTTCATAGACGTATCGAAATGACAAATCATGGGGCTGAAACCTCACCACATAAGACTATACATCATGCGTAGTCAAAACAAATTCTTAATCTGTGTAATTTCATGTTCATATACCTTTGGAGGGAAGATTTTTTTTGCTGATTTCAGGATTTTTAAAGAATGTATTTTGAAATCTGGAATTCCCGAAGTTTTACTGTAAAGGTGTTTTTGCCGGTACCTATAAAAAGTAAATATAGAATACATGAAATGGGATGGGTATTGTAAGGGATGCCTTTAGGCAGTACAAACATAGACCCTACATTAATGTTGCTGTGTGCCGTCTGCGATCCTCGAAACCTCTGCTGATTATTTCGTGGAATTTTCATTGTCCCTCGATCTCATCCCCTCTACCCAAATACCACCCTTTCCCCTCATAGATTCCAAAATAGCCTTCCAAGGCCACATTTTGATTGACTAAATGCTAATATCAATTGAACATTCACAGTATTAACCAACAAAAGAAAAACACCCCTTCCGTCAGAGAAGTTTACCCAACTCTGGTAACCCGACGTTGCCTCTCGGGTATTGATGAGCGTTCTCTCATCTTTAAAGAGCCAAGATGCAATGTCTATATGTACAAACGCTTCGCCAACAGTCGCCCTGTGAAAGAGGCTGTAAAACCTGCTGAGGTCGGGGTCAGGGTAGACAAATATTATCGGCGGTTCGTTATATACACGGTGCCGTACACAACACACACAAAAATGGCCCGAATGGGGAGGAGTTTTCTGAAATGGTGCCGTACAGATTGGTTTTAAACTCTTGTGTAATTGTTCGGCATTCCATGTTGAGTCATTATCTCATTCGCCCATTATCATCTCCGGAGTGACCGGCAGAAATATGATCACAACGCAGACTTGTAAGTACATACGTGTACACGCACCCATTACCACATTTCATCATGTGTTTAATGTATGCGTCATGTTTTTAATTCCCCATGTGTATACTCTAGGATTAATGTCATTTACACAGAACAAAACAGCTGATTGCATAATGCAGAACATGATTATGCCGAGGCCAATGTGGATTTTAGTATAATACCAAGTTGGTATGTGTACACCTGGAAATCGATCAAGCGTGAATGGTTTACTGTTTACTAATTACTTTTACTTTTGTTTTATTAATAATTTACTTTCACAGTGACAACTTATAAACATGTGCAAGCTTGTCTGGTAGCGATGACTGAACGGTCTTGATAATTTGCTTAATTCACATATTTATTTAAGCCAGTCATTTAAATGTTGTGAAATTCTTTCATTATTATTATCATCACTTTTCTTTTTGGAAAAAAGGAGATGGGTTGATATTTATTTGTGCTTAATTTAAATCTTAAGTGAGGGCAATGTCTGGGTAAAAATATTATATTTTACCATTGGTAAAATTTCATATGGCTCTGCTATTAGCTTTAATAAGTTTATTTAACAGGTTTAATAGGCTTTTCAGTGACACTGATGGAAATGCTGTAACTGAAAATTTGATGCTTATATATGGCCCCCCCCCCAAAAAAAAGTCTCCGGTTTCTGGTATGGAACTTGCCCCAAAAGTGGTGCAGCGACGCGGCTTTTTTTTTTTTTTCCCTCTTATTTATTCTTCTTCAAATGTCGGCTGATGTTGCAGAGATGACGCTTCGATCCCCTCAATTTAAACTCTCAAAAATATCCTTTAGAGTGGAGCTTGAGGTGACCTCAGTAAGGCCATAAGTCTTGAGAATTCTGCACCCACTTACGATCTCGACCACCAAGAACATTCTTCGGGAAATTTGGAATTAAGTCAAGACAAAAATCGGAGAAAACGTTAACGTCAGACTAAACAGCGACATCGACATATGCATGAGCTGCCAGGCTGGTCATTGGTCTGCTCCCTTACATATTGTGCTAATTAAAAAGTGTTTACAGGTTCCAGTGTTCGACTCTTGTGCCGTGGGTTCAAATTCTGACCGTGGGAACATGGTGCTTAATTGTGCTCTTGAGCAAGGCACTTTACCATTATTGCTTCGTCCTTCGGATGGGACGTAAAGCCGTAGGTCCCGTGTGTTGTGTAATGCACGTTGAAGAACCCAGTAACACTTGTCGCTAAGAGAAGGGGTTTGCCCCGGTGTTTCTGGCAGTGGCAGCAATTATGCGCCGCAGCACCTAGCAAAAAGGTGCTAGTACATAATGGGTCTCATATGTTCATATACTTCATTTACCTGTCTTTGGATGCATTCTCCCCCAGCGCTTTGTATCCTCTGGCAAAAGGCGCTATATAAACACATTTATTATTATTATTATTATTATTATTATTACAGATGTTGACATGAACACGCCTCCCCTCTGCGCAATATGCGGCGACCGGGCTACGGGCAAGCACTACGGCGCGGCCAGCTGCGATGGCTGCAAGGGCTTCTTCCGTCGCAGCGTGCGCAAGAACCACCAGTACACCTGCCGCTTCAGCCGCAACTGCGTGGTGGATAAGGACAAGAGGAACCAGTGCCGCTACTGTCGTCTCAAGAAGTGCTTCCGAGCTGGGATGAAAAAAGAAGGTAGTGAGTACTGCATCCTTCATTCTGCAAAAAAGGGCTTTAAAGAAATAAAATTCAGGTGACATAACTTTGGTTAAAATCACAGGTGACGTGGGAAAATGAAAGTAAGGTGAAGCTTCGGCGTCATTGATATTCAGGTCTGGAAACAAATAGTTGTCCTTACATAGATGCATTTCCATAAGTTTGAGTACAAATGACAGAAAGTGTTAAAGGCACACGTGTACATAAACCATTGATTTAATGATTTAATCCTTGTTCAAAGTGAACAGTTCACTGTGTGTTAGTTCAGCTAAAAATGTCTGAAGTTGCGTCGGTTCAGTTTTGGTAGTGAAAGTGCCAATTATCAAAATGTAAGTGTATCTTGAGTTGAGGTGCATATATGTGAACTTTCGTAAAAGTGGTAGTGGTAGTGAGACCAAAGTGGCCTCAACTATGTGTACAACCACGTAAGATTCTAAGAACTGTAGTCAACCCATTTACTTACAATCTTTTCTCAATATCTCGGCAGCTGTACAGAATGAACGGGACAGGATCAGCACACGAAGACCCAGCTATGAAGACAGCCTCAATACAACGTCACTATCGATAGGACAACTGGTCAATGCAGAAATATTATCCAGACAGGTAAAAATGATCAATATATCCTCACCTGTGCAATTCATAAAAATGGTTCAGTTGGGTTTGACATATAGTAATCATGCTAGTGGTCTGGAGCATTGAATTTGTGGTCTGCGGGTAATTCTGCAGGTTGTGGGTTCGAATCCAGCCTGGGGTTATGGTGCGTGTGCCCTTGGGCAAGGCACTTTGTCGCATGACTGACGTTAGAGGGCTTGAACTTTTTTTAAAACTATACGTACAATGTAAGCTCTTTAATTTGAAAACCAAAGAAATAAATGTGATTGTTTCATTCTGGTACAGTTCTTAATAATGTATGAATGTGAATGCTTGGTTTATTGGCAAACTAAAGAGACAGTTTTGCTGAAACTTTGTTTACTTAGTCACCATCTATAGAAAATACATGTATGGTTCCAGCTCAAGTTGTCACAATGCACCTCAGAATTATTCAGTGAACTTTCCATAGTGTAACTGTTCTCATAGTGGATGCGTTCGTGTAGCTCACCCAGATCGACTAGGGTAAAGGCAGATAGGTTACGAGAGCCGGGCTAATCGAAGGCTCAAAAGCCGGCAATCATGATCCTCACGTGACTACCATAGCCTTGGCCGTAGCCATTGACAAAACACCCTTTTCGGACTGAATCTTACCATTCCTTCCTCCATGGCCTTACTTTGAGATTTACTGCTTTTCCGTCGATCGCAAAAAGTAATAAAGTCGGGCTGGAATTGGCAGCCTCTAAATTCACAATGAGCTCAAGAAATAATTATATTTTAAAAAAAGTTGATTTGGGGTCCACTTGATCTGTTCTGCTGTCTGGCTGCCATAATTGTCCATTTCTTGAAATGAACAACGCATGCGTGTGACGTATTTCCACCAATGACTCCACTCCACGAGCAGGCCGGGTCTGTGGTGGCTGACCCGGGTGAACCCGAGAATAACGTCAGAGCCAATCTAACGTCACGGGGCTAACCCGAGTCGACCCGGATGAGCTAATCCAACGCACCCTTTATAATTTCAGTGTCATCCTTTCATATGAAATACATGTACTCTCATTCTTTTTTTGTTTTGTTTTGTCACACCAACTTGAAGGTTGTGATCGTCATTGAGCCCATCTGTATAATCTCTCACATTCTCTTAATCATTTCATTGGTCATGTCTACTATCATCCTATGCTACATGTACATCATCATTATCTTGTCTCGAGAGTGTTGACGAAGCAGTCATGTCATTACCATCATCACATCACACGTCTGTTTTGTTTTGGACAAAGTATGAAGACGAGTCTTTACACAAGCAACAGGTTTGTATGTACGTGTACATTTTCCAAAGTGAATCAAAGGATTATTAATTTTTTTTTAATATAACAGGCTGGTTCATACGCTGTGTGAAAGCGAACACAATCACCAATTTGTGGCGTCGCGGCTAGTTTTTGAGCTACGAATTCCCCCAAGTTGAACACATTAAAAGCCTGGCGAATTTTGCAGCAAACGTTTCCTGACATCAAATTTGTTTCGCTTTTGCATATTTACGTGAAGTATGAGATCCAGACATTGCTCAACTGTGGAGAGCATTTCATATCAGCAAAAAGTTCCATTAGAAACAATAGTTTATTCAAAAAATTAAGTTTTTAACTTTTCAGTTATAGTCGAAATCAATCAAACAGTTGAATTTTGTTTGCAAAATCTTGGCCAACAGAAACAAAGTTATGTGGTTTTTTTTAAACAAAAAAATGGCCAAAGAAAGCTATCCCAGTAACACTTTTTTTCAAGACAAACTCTAAGAGAGCTTGGTTTCTGACTTTGTGCATTGTTTTCATTTACATTTAGATCATTCTGTAACATTGTGGTCCACTTTTACATGTATTTTCTTGTCCCTTTTACAGCTTAACATCTCTGATTCTATAATTCTGATACACTCCTTAAAGCATATGTGGTCCTCCAAGAGTGATTATGGATAGAAAACTACCTACCCAACAAAGAAAAAATCATTTGAAGTCATTCTAAATGATACTTGAATGGCAAATTACAAAGAACCAAGGTACATGTACAAGGGACAGGATAAAAGTCACACGTTGGACCCTAATTTTATAGCGTGACCGATATGTTTGAAATCAAGACACTTTGAGTTTTCAAAGTACAAGTCTGAAAAGGGAGGACACAGTTCAAAATACCACTTCACTCCCTTTCTTTTTGCAAGTCTCAAATGGTACATCCTGGTATTTTTTTCTATTTCTCGATGGGACAGATTTCTCCACAAATGACCCTCTCAGATACCAACCTAGCCACCAAGAAGATAGCCAACATGAACGACATCTGTGAGACGATGAAGCAACAGCTCCTGATCCTAGTAGAGTGGGCCAAGTACATCCCTAGCTTCTGTGACCTTCCCTTAGATGACCAGGTACTGTTAGTGTATTGATTACTGTTAGTGTATTGATTACTCTCCTGAAGACGGTCAGAGCATACTGACCGGAACGTCGAGTTTATACCTCTGGTTCTTTTCAGAACCATTCTCTTAGTTGAGAAATTATTCGCACATGGTGTTTCCGCAAACCTTTCATTATTTAGTATCTCCACCATGCAAAGCCTCAAATCTTAATTGATTACAGTTTACAAAGTGCTTTATATTGACTGAAATGTAAGAAACAACTTCGTAGTCAAGTCCATCAGAAGTTAATCACAAGTACATGTACATGTATCGTCACGTAAGTAATGTAATGTGACAACAGAATGCCTTCACAGCATGTGACTTGATGCAGGCTTTCAAGTATTCCTACTTTCCCTCTTTTTCCAAGTTTTTTTTTTACGTTGCTCCTACTTTCTCTACTTTTGTTGTGAAATTCCTACTTTTTTTCTACTTTTTGGTCCCACAACTCTAAAAAATGAAATCTCACAAGTTTTTTTTACACACTGTCATATATAAAGCACACAATGAAGGTATTTGGCGCAGGAGAACTGCAGCTGTACTTCTAAGAGCTTAGTTGAGGATGGAGCACAAGTGTTGTGAGTACAGAACATGCCAAATGAGGCTCATGATGCTGTGGGCTTTGGCGAGTATCAACGAAAATTACTACTGAAGGCCTGCAAAAGTTTTTATCCCAATTTTGTCCCCCAAACTCCTACTTTTTCCTGTTATTTTTTTTGAAAAAAAAAATGATCCTACTCTTCTACTTTTTCACCTGGATCTGCTTGAAAGCCTGTTTAACGTGGGACAGAATGACTTTAAATTAACTTATGATTGGTTTGTGATGAAGACTTAAAGGGAAAGTACAACATTTGCAAACATCAAAAAATAAAACCACCAAATGATTTTGAAATACCTTGCTGGACTGTTAGTGAATGACAGTGTAAAGCATCCTGTAAAATCATGGCACCTGGTATACTGTCATTTTCAAGAAAAGTGGTATTTTTGTATCAATTTCCAACGCTGGTCGGAAAAAACTGGCTTTTTTTTCAAATACTGGCCCCAATTGACCATCGCACTTGTTTGCAATCGATTACACACCTATGAATGGGTACAAGCCAGCTAGACTGGTTCCCTGACCTTACAATTCCCCAGTGTATGTAAACTGCTCTGTTTCTTATATGGAGTCAGGGAACCAGACTACAGGAAAATGATTGTTTTTCTTGGTTTTTAAAGCATTATCGAACCCAAAACCTCAAACAAGTCAGTGTAACTATATTTGCTATAGATCCAACCCCCCAATTCCATCCATTTCTGAAAATTACAGCAAAAGCCAATGATGTACATTCCCTTTAACTGTCATTTTTACATGTGAGATGGTGTTTTAGGAAATAAGCCCAACAATGTAGATTGAACTTGTGCTTTTGATGATGCATCGGGCTCCAGTTCCAAATAGGCGACTAGAATAGTCTAACCATCATTCGTTTGAGTCAAGTAACCGGTAGTTGAACTATGGTTAACCACAGTCCTCACTGGAACTAACTCTATGCTTTGAGTAGGGTAGCTCATAAACTATGAAAGTCCTTGTTGGAAATGAAAGATGTCTGTCGGCACAGAGTTGCTGATCTGTGTCCCCCTTTGCCTCCACAGGTTGCCCTCTTGCGAGCCCACGCCGGTGAGCATCTAGTCCTAGGCGCTGCCCAGCGCTCCCTCCAGTACAAGGACTACCTCATCATGGGGCCGGACACCATCTTGCCTCGTCACTGCCCGGATCAGATGGACATTAACCGGGTGGCTAGCCGTGTCCTGGACGAGCTGGTCAAACCCATGAGGGACGTGGGACTGGACGAACAAGAGTTTGCTTGCATGAAGGCCATCGTCTTCTTTGACCCTGGTAGGTGTCTCTTTGTCCAAAAAAAAAAAAAAAAGAGATGAGAAACCAAGCAGAATATCCTGGAATGTAAAAAAGTGAGTTCGAGCACACCAAGTTACATAAGAAAATATAGCTCATGGTACAAGGAAGTAGGTGCCTGGATACGAATGCATGGCCTGGAAGATCGTCTCCTTGTCTCGCAGAGGGGTCTGAGCAATGCAGTGCACTTCTATCTTAACTTTCCAAACCAGTTTCCATGCCCTAATCAAACAGTTTTTATTTGGCTTTCAATTGTCAGTGATTGTCAAAGTGCATTTACTTTAAGGCAAAGCCCAAAAAGCCTGATTAAAATAGGACAGATGACTTGCTAGCAGTGAACTGCATGTTTCGTTGCTCAGTAGACTGATACATGTGACAAACGCACAAACCAATTTCATAGGGATTTTCACATTTATAGTTACATGTAATTTGGGAACCAAGTAGCCAACGGTTTTGATGGACAAGTGTAAAGTACTGTCTTCAGAGTTTGATACACTCGTTGGCACCTTGCTGGAAAATCCTACTTGTTGAAGAACTCGCACATCCAGCGCAATTTCAAGTCTGAGGATGCAACTCCATGGCCAAAAGTAATGCAGTAACAGAAATATGAATTCTGTTAATGTACACAAAGGCAGTTAACTCTGGTTCATCTCTATAAGTTATGGTTCAGTATTGACAAAGTCGGTTTCAAGTAATGGAACCATACAAATGGAACCATACAAATGGAACTGATGCAGTAGAATCGAGACTCGACACGTTTAGTTAAGTTCTTGGGTACCCAGGAAAAGGTCTACAGTCTTATTCCGTCTGTCTTCTTTAGATGCCAAGGGTCTGAGCGACTCCAACAAGATCAAAGCCCTGCGCTACCAGGTGCAGATCCACCTGGAGGACTACATCAACGACCGCCAGTACGATTCCAGGGGGCGGTTTGGGGAGATCCTGCTGCTCTTCCCCCCTCTGCAGAGCATCACCTGGCAGATGATCGAGCAGATACAGTTTGCCCGGCTGTTTGGGGTGGCCAAAGTGGACAATCTGCTTCAAGAAATGCTGCTTGGAGGTAGGTTAAGGCACGCTTACCGGTACATAATAATAATTATTCATTTCTATTGCGCAAATTCCATATGAATATGATCAAAGGCGCTTCACAATTATTATCCATGTTCATCAGGAATGAGATCACTTTTTCTGCAGCAGCTCCAGATCAGCGCAACCTGGTTTCTACCCATTTATACTCCTGGGTGTAGAGAGGCAAAGTGGGGTACGTAGGAAAGTGCCTTGCCAAAGAGCATAAGCACCATATTCCCCATCATGGTTCGAACCCATGTAATAATACCAGAGTCTTATATAGCGCACGTACATGTATCTACCAACAATTCGGTACTCAAGGCGCTGGAAATTATATCTATTATTAGAGACAGGTGAATGAAGTACATGAGAAATATTAGACCCATTATGTAGCACCTTTATAAGGGTTTACAAGATGCTGCGGCGCATTAAGCAGCCACTGCCAATAAACACCGGGGCAAACCCCTTCTCTTAGTGATAAGTGTTACTGGGTTCTTTAACGTGCATTACACAACACACGGGACCTACGGCTTTACATCCCATCCAAAAGACGGAGCAATAATGGTAAAGTGCCTTGCTCAAGGGCACAAGCACTACGGTATGTTCCCACGGTCAGGATTCGAACCCATGTACCACGGCACATGAGTCGAACACCATAACCATTGGACCACAGCGCCCACAAACTGTACATGTAATCCTGTGGATTGTAATCCTTTGGATTGTTATCCACTGGAACATTCAACTGTTCTTTTAAAGGTACGGAACACCACTATACCGAACATTCGGTTATACCGAACGTACTGTAATTCTTGGCTTCCGGTGTACGAAATGTACCGAACATTGTTGTTAAAAAAGTCAGCAGATTAACAAAATATCTACCGGTTATATTAAACGCTATTTGGACCATTTTTAATTCCCGAACGTCAAATGACCCATGGTTACATCGTGTTTGAATGTTGAAGAGTGATTAGGTGGCTATCGTTTCCCCAAGGAACTGAAGGGAAAAGCCACCCATTGCGGAAGTTTCGTGACGACTTTGCGTGTGGCCACATCATGTCAGAAATGCCAGTTCACTATTGGTCAAAAGAGGGCGCCGCTGATGTGTAAAACCACAGTAGTAGGTTTTTTTTTTCCCCAAAGCTTAGATTTTGAAAACTAAAGGTTAAAAAGTACAAAATTAGCAAACATACCTTTATCCCAGCCATTCCTCTCTCGTTTCCCGACTCTTCTCTTCTTCTCCGTGATGTTTTTATTGATTGTGTTGATTTTATTCGGTTCTGTCTTTATAATTTAACTACAATTTTCATAAATAATAAGCCTTTTAAAAAAACAACTGTTTATACAAACTTTATAGCAATTTATTACTTAAAATAAAAGTAAAAAGTACATTTAAAAAAAATTGCACATTGAAATGGCAAGAAAAGGGGAAATAAATAAATATTTAACAAATCCTGTCAAAAGATCGTACACTTCAAGTAGGGCACCAGAGGGCGCTATTTAAACAGACAGACGCCATTTAAAGTACCTGCAGCTCAAAATCGCTATACCGAACGATCGCTATTACGAACATTTTCTGTGGATCCCACGATGTTCGTTAAAGTGGCATTCCACTGTAGTAGATAACGTTTGCATTTGTCGTAATTTTATGAAATGGACTGATTTAAGGGCTAGTAATTTATAGCAGACATCGTTCCGCTGAGCTGTTCATTGGTGATGGAAAACCCTCGAAAAAAAATGCTGTTTGTTTTCAACCGTCAAAGTGCAGCTCGCTGAATGTGTCGTATATACAAAGAGTGCCGAATGTGTTGGAAATAAATTACCGAGTGTACATGTACACATGAAATCAATAGCTGGAACGTGCCCGTTACATCTGTGCTATTTTAAAAAAGTGTTTTTTTTCAATGATGGTTCGGTCTAAACTTTCGTTGGAAAATGACAGCAATTCCTCTTTTCTTGAAAAGGACAACCATCCAGTAACAAATTGTCATTGGTTTCACAGGTGCCAGTAATGACCCCGCCCAGCAGCAGACGCCCATTGGTCCTCACGGCACCCACCTCCCCCCGGGCACCACCGAGCACCTAGCCAACGGGCACACCAGCCACCCAGGCACCCCCAACTCCCTCCAGGCTGCGGTGGCCAACGCGGCCGCGGCCGCTGCGGCCGTCTCAACTCCACACATGGAGACCTTCACCAAGCTGACGGTCAACTCCAGCCCCAGCACCGCGCAGGTCACCCAGGCGGCACCGCAGACCCCATCGTCTGTCGCGGTACCCATACACCTACCAAAACAAGAGACCGTCTAGGAGGACATGTACATTTGCATATTCTTGAACCAAGACTGTTTTTCGGATTTTGTTCGCGTTAAAATACAACTTGTCCTGTGGGGCCAATTTCACGGCGTTGCTTAGCACAAAAATGTGCTCAGCACAAAAAAAAAGTCTGGCTTATAAAAGCAGGTTACCAGCCAAAACTCCACGTGATGTATATTGCTCGTGATTAGTATTGAGCTGTTGTATGCTTTAGCATGAAAATGACATGGAGGTTTTGGCTGGTAACCTGCTTTTATAAGCCAGACTTTTTTTTGTGCTCAGCCAATTTTTGTGCTTAGCAGCGCCGTGAAATTGGGCCCTGATCTCTAGCAAGGAAGTTCAAGCTGCCGGCACGGTAGAGCGCGCTATCAACAAGATGAGGCAAGCAAACCAAATCTGGGGAACTGGGGCTCTCAGACCCAAGATATTCTGAGCATATGAAGAGTTTTTTTCAAAATGCAATAAAAGCCATTTTGTTACCCTTTAGAATCCCGCCCTCTCCTGCCTGCCCAAAATCAGTCTCGACGGCTTGTTTATAGTAACACCTGTTATACTGTTTTTATTCTTTGAAGTTTCATAACCGTGCAAACTTTTCACTTTTTTCAAATGAATAAATCGCATTTTGGAAATAAACTCTTCATATACCTCATGTGTGCTACATGTATATATAAAGCTAATTCGCGTGTGGGAAGTATGCTCAGAATTTCTCGGGTCGAAGTACCAAAGTTCTGAATATTGGATTGGATTCAGTGTGTTGAAATCGATGTGCCCTTTTACGCTTGTCAGTGAACGGCTGTGTTAGGCTAAAAAAAAAAATACAGTCGGTCTCTGGTCAGCTCCCGTCGATGTTGGTCATGCGCGTCAATCTTTTTTGTCCCAAATTTTTCTGCGGTAGCTTCAACAGCACCCTTTGTTGCCGCACCGCCTCGTACCAAGGAGCAAAATGGCACAAATGCAAATGATGGAGGCACCAAGGCAAATGAGGACGCAGAAATACAAAATAGTACCCACTTTGTCTGTACAATCCAAGCTTGAAAAAAATTAAAAAGCCAAAAATTTTTTTTAAATGCATCGCCGCATCAATTCCGGAACTTTGGTGTGACCAGAGACCGACTATTTTTGTTTTGGCCTTTAATATAGGACAACAAAATCAAATGCAGTCTTTGAACAAGATTAATGTATGTATGTCTGTGTCCGAATCGGGAATTTTGTTGTTACACGGTTTCAGTTTTGTCTAAAATACTGACAGCACGACAGTGTACACTGTACAGGCATAGCTGTATATCGTATAGCTGCATATCATACATGTCGTATATCATAGGCACCTTAGAAAGCTTGAATATTCAGCCAAAAAAATAGACAAGTTTTGTAACGGTACTGTAAATGAAAGCCAAACTTCTATTGTTTGAAACTCCCTTTTTGTTTTGACATCAAATGTGCGATACTAGAGTTAAGTTGTGCCGATAAATATTTGTTGCTTTGATGAAAATCCACTCATACATGCATGTCTGTTATCAAACAACGTGCATAGAGTACAGGTGTAGTAAGTCATGGTCAATGGGGCTTCAAGTCACTTGACCAAAAACCCAGCTCTTCTGCCAATGAGAAGAGAGTTCTACGTTTTTCTCTGCATTACAAACTAGATTCAACAATAGTGAAACATGTAAATCTGAGAACCATTCGATTGAAAACTGACACATACGCGCAACGGTCGACTTCCGTAAAAAAAAAAAAAAAAAAGAAATCCACACAGAAATATAGAACCAAAATACAATGAATTCATTCTTATCAAACTCATGTACACATCAGTTGCAGAGAAATGCATGTCATAAACCAATATAGTGCTGTTATTTTGTCTTGCATTTTAACAAATTATTAATATTCCAACTCATTCTTGAAATGAGAGTGAAATGCACAAATTTGCCTTAGGAGATACAATAAGTTAGTTGTTAAATACTACATGCATAACGTGTACTGTACATAAACACATCAAGTTTAATATCGGTTTATGAACAAATAGGTCACATAATAATGTGTAATGACGTGTTCCTTTATGCACAATGTTCTTAGCCAAAGATGTAAAAGCAATTCAACTTATAGTGTTTTTTTTTAAATTAATTGTTGATTTCATTGCCAGCCATTGTTTCCTAATTAAACTGATATTTTTTGCCTTATGTAATATATTTAAGATCTGAAATCAAATTGAAATGAAATAAATAAAATCAGAAAATGTGTCAGTACTAAAAAAAAAAAAACCAAATAATTTTTGCAATCAAAATTGTATTTATGAATCACTTATTATGATGTGTCAAATGATTTTATGCAAATTGCCATAAATTTTGTATGATTTTTATACTATTTAAATGAATGAACTATGAAATCAGGTACAGTATAAATTTGTATATATTTTTGGGGAAAATTATGATAATTGTATGATGAAGATTTTTTTCCAGTCGAAATTGAGTTTTGATGTTGGAATTGACTAGAAACGTGATTCTTGACTTATTAATATACAATGAATTCCATGTCTTATTCCAAAAATTTAGATAAAATGAAATTCTTTCCGAAGTTTCTGTGTAAATAATTTTACATACATCAATTCATAATTTTATTCTTTCAACAAATCATATGACGCCAAGTCAGGAAGTATACTTTTCCCATTAATGATCTCGAAAATAAAATGTTGCTGACTTGGTGTACAAATGTCCGTTTTTATCCAAAGTTTGTAAAAACGAACTCCAAATTTTCCCAATAGATGTCCTTGTAGCCATTCTTGAAACTGTTAACCAAAGAAAATACATGTACATGTATTTGTAAACAAATATTTTGGGAATAACTTTGTGTATATAGACAACTATTTTTGGGGATTACTGTATATTTTGGCTATGACTTTAAAAAGGTGAATTTTAAGGAAGTATTGTTTGTATAATATTCCGGTGAGGATAATTTTGTTAGTTTGCTCAATTGAATAAAATAATGATGTAGAAAATTAGTGCAAATATTCCACTCCCGTGAATTTCGTTGTCGGTGGAATTACATTACTCTGAACACCATTAGTGTGGCTGATACCGTACTTTGTTTGTGAGATAAAAACTGTAGATGTATAATTTGTGTATATATTCTGAAGATGTTTGGATGAGCAGTATTGTGTTGTACTTTTCGGATGGAAATTGTACTTTTAGATGCTTTTTTTTTTGGATTGTTGTTATTCCATTTGTAGTTCTAGACAATTTTAGTGCTTAATGGAGGTGTTTAACCCCAGTGTATGGACTGTTGGGCAGAAAATGTGTAATTCTTTGTACCACAAGTGAAAAAAACCCGATCATTTGTATCCATGTTCAGGACTCTGGCACCTCCCCAACATGGAAAACGACATACAATGCCGTAAATAACCTATCGCAGTAGAATCGCGTCGACGCAGCTCGTGAAATATTGTCCAATTACATGATAGACGAACAGACGCCGACCGCGCAAAATCTGGGACAAACCAAACTCAACGTACAAAATTCCATGTATGGTTGTCTAATGTGCGTGGCTAACTCGCAAACGGCAATAGGTCAATTGAAGAACCTTCCCAAATTTATTGAAACAGTGGACCTTTGTTCCTAAGTGAGTTCTTGGGACTTTCATTCATAGATGTGTACCACCCCCATTTTTTTTTATGGGTTTGGGGGGAGGGGGTTTGCCCTACTTATATTCATGTGCACGTATTGGACTATTCCGTGTCTAAAATATTAGGTTTTATTCTGTTTGCCACAGAATGGGTTGCACCGTTTTTCATGGAATTGTGGTTCATTGCAACCAGATAGAAAACATCATCAACCTATTTTTGTTTAATAAGAACATTCAAATTAGGATGCTGCAAAAGGAAAAATCACTTTGTTATCGTGATGCCAAATTTTATTGATTCCACATGTTAAAGTCTTTGGTTCAAAGAACTACTTTTATTTAATGCAATTTTGGTAACGTTAGATTTGAAAGTTGTTGTTGTTGTTGTTTTTTCGAGTATAATCAACCCAGCCATTATTTAGCCTTCCCTCTGCTTGTATATACATGCGCCGTTCCTTTAATCAGTTGGGCCACATCCAGAAAAAGTAAAGAACGAAACTTCACAAAATATCTTGAAGATGACCAACCAAATTTATTGCAAAGTTTTGGATACATACAACCCTGAAAACTCTGTACAAAACTGCATTAAAAATAAAAAAGAGGATGTCTGGAAGATTTGTGTTGAACGTATTGTTGATTTTCATTAGGGTGTCACGCATCAGTGTCCTGTGATGACATCAAGACAAAATACCAAAAACTTGCTGCACATATATTCTATTGTACTTCATAAACGTGACTTAAAATTAAATCATTCTTTTCCTTTTCATTTGCTTACTTCAATGATGGGCAAAAATGAATTATATTCAGCCACTATATTTTGTCTTAATAATTGCTTGACTAATTAAATTAATGAACCATCAGATGAGATCTATTTTGATACAGTGTCAACACAGATTGTACAAAAAAAATTGTGTGCAATAAAACAAATTTGCAGCCAACTATTCTTAAGTGTATGTTGTGGAAGTTTGTTACAATAATGTCATACAAGAGTCTCTCTTAATGTAATCTTTTTAAAAAAGGACTTAATATGAAAATTAAAACCTTGTGGGTTACCTTCTTTATCAAAAATATAAAAACATTGGAAGTGTTCAAACATTGAAAAATATTTACACTTCCACTGGGTAAAGAAATAGTTAAATCTCCAACTACATGTACATGGAGTGTCCAGCTCGTGAGTAAGATGTAAACAACTCCTTTTATGGAGATTGGTGCGCACGTCGCGCGTACTGCGCGATGTCGCGCAGATGCAGCTGTGGCGAGTACGTTGTGAATTTAGGACTGAAATACCGACTCATTGGTAGTATTGAGTAACCCTACGTGAGGATTGTGAACGTTCAACCAATAAAACAGCACTGGATTTCATAGGAGTCCAAATTTCATGCGACACTGAAAAAGCGTGTTTAAGACCAGCCAGCCATGTCTTCATCATCCGTTTAAGACCGGCAACATGATGACCTCCCGACCAATGGGAATGGGTAAATTGTTTTAGGTATTTATGAATTCTGTTTTTAAAAAGTTATAATATTACATTTCTCGATCTGTACTGTCTGATAGAAGCCGGTACAACCTCCGGAATGTCTCTGTACTCGAACCCTTTGCAACTCTTTCTGCTTCATCCGGATACACACACCGCTGGATGAGTTGGGAGACCTCTTCTTCGATTCTCGGTGGCGGGTGGCGCAGTAGACCAGCATTGCCCAGTTTCCGACGGAAGATGTCTTTGCAAATAGCCTGGAGGAAAGGAAATGTGAGCGTCATATTCAAGTCCTTTTTCTTTTTGGTGACTGTCGGATAATGAACTATTTAGCCGGTACGCTAGAAATTAAACAGTTCCATTCATGTGCATTCTACTAACACGCTGTAAAACTTAGCAGTGGCTATGTCATACACTGCCTAGGTCACATGTTGCCTGGGTGATATGTCCAGAAACACACATATGCCTAACGTAGCGAAATATCTATGGTGCCCACTTTTTCAACAATTTATCATCCGTTGAAAATAAAATGCATCCATCATGTTCTGATTGATGACTACAGTCAGCTACTGTCCCATTTTCCAGTCTTATTCATTCTTAATGTCTGAAATTTCAACTAGAAAATGTTTATCTATATCGCTCGTGTAATTCGTATGGTAAAATGGCGGACAAGACATTGTTTGGACCCATCACTATTGGAGATGACCCTGCGTGACATGACACTTCTACCGCGTATACATGTATATATATATGCAATAACAATATTTGCCAACGTTGGCAAAATTTGTGCAAGTGTTTTTGCTACGAAAGTTGGTGTGTTTTCCAAAAAGGCCAGGACGCACAACAAAGGTAATGATTCTGTTGGGGCTGAAATTTCCATTTAGATATAATAATGGAAATGTTTCAATATTTCAAGGATTTTAAAAGCTGCTTTCGAAACAGTGACGCTTGTATAACTGGCATACACACCGACGCCATTTTGACAACTGACTTTTGTTCCATGACATAATTGTTCCATTTGAGGTTTATATGTTCGCATGGGTCTAGCTAAGATTGCAAACAGGTTCAAGTGACTGAAACACAACCCTCAGCAGGTTAAATTGTCAAAGAGCACCACTATAAAAACCCTTTTTTTTTTCAAAAATAATGTCTCATGTTTCTTCAAGTAGTGTGTTTAAACAAGTTTAATTGTCCTTGAATGACACCTACACCTACGTACTTCCAGAACTGTAAGGTTTTTACAAACCTTACAGAAAGACAAATTGAAGTTGCTGTAGCAGAAAATTCTCAATTTTTTTCCAAACTTCAAACTCTCCTGTCACGAAATGTTCGGCCTCAATATAACACAAGTATTATCTTGATGAGGATTCTAAGGTTGGTTGAAATCCCTCAAATGTCAAACAAAGATGTGAAATTTACCAGAATTTCGTTCACCAGGATCATTGGAGTCTCGCACTTGGCCGTCTCTCATCATTTGCAGTCGACTGAGGGCGATTTAATTCTCTTGACCAACTACAGCGCGGCTTTCATTCCGAGAGTGTCTCCGTGCCTCCCGCGATGAAATGAAAGCCACGCTGTAGTTGGTCAAGAGAATTGACATTTGAGGGATTTCAACCCACCCTAGAGGTACCTATCCACATCAAGATAATACTTGTGAAATGCTGAGGCCAAACATTTGTGACAGGAGAGTTTGGAGGTCGGAAAAAATTGAGAATGTTCTGCTACAGCAACTTCAATTGGTCTTTCTGTAAGGTTTGTAAAAAACCTTACATTTCTGGAAGTGACACCTACGTAAAGAGTACAGAGATTCATATTATTACCTGGAAGTTATTGTTTTTTCTCTCCCTCGTACACTTCTTCATTGCCAAATTGCAGACCCCATGACAATCAAAGAAGTCACAGTCTTCGTGCTTTGTGCAGTTGGGCTGTTCAAGGAAATCCCCCATTGTTTTATCAAAGAAACTAATATCGATGTCGATTGCTTTCACTTTGGAGTCTACTATGCCAAAATTCTCCGGCTTCACGTCGCAAAGATGCAAGATGCTGTGGAAGTCCGTTTCCGTCGCCTTGACGATATCTAGGAGATCTTTGGCAGCTTGAGCGCGTGGTTGCCAGGCGGCCGATTGGAATCGTTCTCGGACGCCGTGCGACAAAGATTGCTGTAAGACTGCTCCAGGAGGAACGTACTCCTCTACGTAAAAATGCCCGCACGCACCGTAGATTTTTGGAAAGAAGGAATGATCCTTGAAAAAGGTGAAGAAGAGGTATTCCTCTTGTTGGAGTAACGCCCAGAGGCTGTTCATCTGAAAGTTGGATAGGTCCTTGGGTAAAGATTCGGGCTCGAGAAAAGCGCGACGCAGCAGTTCTTCCTTGCTGATGGAGAACGTGGTTCCAAGTGCCGTCTGGACATGGTCTCGCACAATGATCTCGAATGCTTCCTGTGTCATGAAGCGCTCTGGCGAGAATTTGGAGGCGTCAGTGCCGTCCAGCAGGCCTGTGAAAAGCGGACGGTACTCCGAGAGCTCAGCCTTGCGGGATTTGAGCATGGCCCGGCGGCCGTCCAACTGGACCTGCAGGACTTTCTTACCGCTGAGACGGTTGAAGCACCTCTCATACTGTAAAGAATCGGAGCTGCAGATCTTGTGGCACAAGTTGCCGTCCACTTTGCTGGCCGCATACAAAGCACACTGGAAAAAATGTGAACAATGGAGACACAAGAAGATATTTTTTGGGTGGAACTACTTCAAATGTTTAACAAAAGAAATGCAACAGTGATTGCCATTGAAAAAAATGTTATGCCCCAAATATCTGACAACGGCACGTCATGGGTGAAAATTTCATTTTCAGTTCAGTTCTAAAAATGTAAGCACAGCTTTAATTATAATGCATTACTTCTGCTGCTTAAATTTGGTGTCACCCTCAAGAATGTGACTTTCCAACCGTGAAAAAGCTCTACAGCTCATCTTTACATCAATCCTGTTCAATCCCAAGCCACTTCTGAAAATATAGGCAGACTTATTACCGTCCCAACTATGGCAATTGCCCCAACTATAGTTCTAACTTCTGTTTATGTTATCTTTTCTAAGTCTCTTTGTCCTGGTCCTTTAAGTCACTTAGTTGAGGTCGTCTCGCTGTTTGCTTTGATTGATGTGCTGTGTCTATCAGTTTGTATCTGCCTGTTTTAGATAATTTAATTAATATATACCACACCTAATATATTTTAAAGCTTTCCTTAACTTTCTTGTATAATTTTAAATTGGTTTTAGATTCTAACTGGTTTATTTGTATCTCTGGGAAGTGCCTTGAGCCTCAATTTTTGACAGATTTGATGATATACAAGAATTAGTTATTATTATTATTATCCTGTTTTCCAAGGCACTGCCTTTATACTTCAGAACTCTCTCCCCGTACCCTGCTTAAAATCTTGACTTCTAATGCAAACACCAAAACACAACAAAATCTTCTACTGCATGAAATTTTTTTTTTTTGGTGAGCTCCTTTAAAACGTATACAGCCCTCAACACGTTCTAGTGACCATTTCCAGGGCTTTGTGATAGTCGACGTTAATATAATGAATAGGAATTAAATTTACGAGCTTGAGGGCTGAATTTAGGGCTGAAGTAACTCAAGCTTTAGTAGTAGGACCTACCAGCTTTTGTAGCATAGCCAGGGAGCCCTCTTTGGTGCATTTCTTGCCCATTGCCTTCTCACTCAGAAACAGGAGGTACACTCCTAAGACCACGAGAAGAACCATCAAGAGACGGCATAGCATCCTCCTTGTCACTCGCGCCATGGCTCAGAGACGGAATTCCATCTGTCACATAAATACATCATGGATGAGGATCAATTCTGACATGCTGCGAGTCCTTTTGACTTCTACTAGGCGTCTAGGTTATCCTGTAATTTTGAGGGGAAAGGTGCAGAATTATAGGGTAATCCTTACTTTTAGGACACCTCTATTTTGTACGAGTTCTGTTCAACTTCAAAACTGACTTTTGCAGATAACTGTCCAGTACCAAAGTGACTTTTGCAGGCTAAAGAAGTCTTTTTTCTTCAGACAAACTCATGTTAGTTATAATTTTGAAAGCACTTTCAAAGAAAATGTGACTTTCCTACCTTTTTTTGTAGTTCGCCATCTTGCTTTTAAAATTTATTTTCTGTTTGTCATCGTCGTCTTTAACCCCTCATAAATCAAAACCCTGCCCTCTTTCTACAAAATCAAACCTGCTGATATTCAAGAGGTGTCATTGCCAAATGTTCAAATGTGTCAATAAATATCAGAATGTCACTTTTGAGTGTCATTTAGTCAGCTGTTTTGGTGAGTCTTTTAACCTTATATAGGAAAGGGGTCCTAAAAGTAAGGATTACCAGAAATAGGACCACGTACTAACGTAGCTTTTGGCAGTCTAGTCTGACGAGTAGCTTACTGGGCTTTACACTATTGCACATTTTCTATCCCCATTCTATAGCCATAGCTGAATTGAAGTTAAAAAAAAAAAACATACACCTTGGCTTCATCATGTTCATTTTCCAACATGCACTCTACTGTTTCAAACGGAACAAAATGTAAAACAAAAGTATGTATCAGTAAGACAAGTTGGTCTAGGAAAGATTCCAATTTCTCGCCGTCACTAATTTGTCCCTTCATAGACCCGTGAACGCGGCGTTGTAGTTTACAAGCCGCGTCCACGGGTCTGGTCGGGGTCCCAGTTATTATCATTCAGAGAGTCGAAATCAGCATTAGCAGGGACAACATTGAAGTATTTGCTGAGAAAACACTTAAAGATTTTCAGACCATGCAGTCTCATTTGTGCACAGGGTGACAAGTGATGGTCAGATATAGGAATCTTTCCAGACAGTATCTCATTTATTAACCTTCCGGAAGCACATTTCAGACGAAGCTAGCCCTGGCAGGGATTTCCCCGAACTTGACCATGGTGACCCAACCTCGTCCCCAGTGCGTACTTTATTTTGGACCGCGTTTGTAGTGGCGGGCGCGTACTGCTCGACACCTTGAGGACGAGGTTGATGTTGACCCGATGTGCAACGGGGTCAGGTCTGGGAATGAAATTTATGAGGGCGCTCTTTTAGAATAATGGACTTCTTCTCCTACTCCGAAGACATCGGCTCTGTTCCTTCGAATTCCTTTATAATTATTATGCTGGAACAGTGAAGTCTTCCCAACCTTGATCGGTTTCAAGGTTGCTCAGTCTAGAAGCTGCAAAGAAGAAGAATAACCAAACAGGGCGTAATAAAACTGAATAAAATGAATAAATGAATCAAATGTTGAACCTAGCCGCGATTGGGCACAATTTCGGGCCTCGGCTCTAGACCCGAACTCGCACAGAAACATAAAATCTAAAATACATGTAGCACAGGGAGATCCAAAAACTTTGAGAATCATTTTGTGAATGAATGTAACGAATACCTGGAAATGAAGCATAAAATACACATTTCTTTCCAAATGGCTTTTGAAAATATTGTTTTTAAAAAATATCAGCATCTAATAAAAAGTTGACTTTGACCTTTGTTTAATAAAAATAATAACAACATCAAACAGCAATTAAAAGGCGCACTTTATCTGTGAGACATTCGAATTGAATGGATTGTGCAATTTCAGTAATTTGTTTATCTAAAAGTAGCTTATGAAATTGTCTTTCCAGTGATTATCATTTTTGGTGCTACATATTTTTAAAATATGGAACATATTTTGGGGGTTTGGGTTCCGTGTTTTTTTGACTCGCCCTGTAGCTTGTCGAAGATGGGCCCCGGTGATCGTGATCTTGGCTGTTCCGACGCGCGGCAGCATTCTGCAAGTTGCAGCTGATATCTCCATGATATAGCCCAGGTGGACTTAGGGTCGGTGGTACGGTACACGCACGGACAAGGCTCGGTGATAGCTCCATGGTGGTAAACGCACGTAGCCGCGTTGATTGTGGGTGCAGGGCCCGATTATCTCCCTTCGACAAAAAGCCGAGAGACCGCATTGAACAAGGCTAAGGTGGACTCCCTTTCCTCCCTACGTAACGGAGGGAGTGCTCAAAACCGGGCGAAAACATTTCTGACCAATAATTTCAACCAACATTTCAACAATAATTTTTACGTCGTGGTATTCTATGTTTCCTTATCTATTGGGCCGCTGGGTTCAGAAATTCCATATGCGATGCTGACCGACCTTAATCTGGAAAATAAACTCGAAAGCAACGTTAAACTGGTACGTGTTTGTAGACTCTTTTCATCAGTTTCTCGAGTCACCGCCGAGTCGTACATGTTGTACGTCTGTGCAGCGTGTAGTCTGGTTCTCTAGACCGGACAATTATTCTCGACGCTCATATCACGTCTGGTCCAGGGGCCAGACTATGCAGCATGAATATGCAGTGCGCACGCGCGATTTGCTTAGTAACCACCCTCATACGCACGCGCACTTACTTGAAGGCGCGGTCGCAAATCCAATGACAGAGCGTGTTTTCGCGCCAGTTACCAGAAACACGTTTCGGCTTTGGTCATTGGTTGAGCGTTTTCGTGACATCCTTGGCTGGAGTGACGTCACGGTTCCAACCAAAACTAAACAAATGAGGGCGCTAGTGTGCGTGCGCGCTTTCGTACGCACGTACACATGTACATGACGTACGACTCTGGGAATAAACTGATGAAAAGAGTCTACAAACACGTACAAGCTTAACGCTGCTTTGGAGTTTATTTTCCTGATTAATGTCGGTCAGCATCACATATGGAATTCCTGAACCCAGCGGCCCAATAGGTAAGGACACATAGAAAATGTAGGCGTGAAATAAGTTTCTGTAACGAGGTAAAACGTAACAAAAATCTGGTCCAAATTTTGGGTGGTCTTATGTAGAGAACTCTCACCCTGGACGTTAGTCGTAATGCAATGAAGACTTCGTCCAACCTGGGCTACAGCTGATAATGCACTCCTGTTTAGTACAGAAGTCGAGTTTTATTTTTTTACTAAGGCATGGATGCATAGGCGTAGCCAACGGGGGGGGGGGGGGGGGGGGGGGGGGGGGTACTTACCCCTCCCCCGCCCCCGCCCCTCCTTAATATTTTGTAAAGACTGCCCTTCTCTATTCAAAATGCCCTATTTCACTAGCGCTTAACCCCTGGCCCTCAATAATTTTTGCCCCCCCCTTTTTTTTTTTAAAAAGGGCCCCTTTTTTCAACAAGTGGCCTTTACCAAAAAATAAAAATATGTGCTGCCCTTTTTTGTGCCATCTGCCGTTCCGGATGCCTTTTCAGTGAAATTTCACACATGTGTCTCCCTGAAAAGCACCATACTCATTGGCGTCGTGAGGGGGGGGGGGGGGGGGCAAGTGGGGAGGCTTGCGCCGAGGTGCGCCGATCCATATTACTGTTAATTTGATGGGGGGGGGGGGGGATAGGGCAAGTGCTCCCCTGCTCACGCTCGGGAAAGTGCTAAATTGAGAATGTAATAGAAAAGACCCATCCCCCTGGGAAAAAATGGGCGACGCCCATGACCATACTCCGTTTGTGTGATAATCGTCGGTTTTGAACAGCCCCCCCCCCCCCCCCCCCCCCCCCCCCCCCCCCCCCCCCCCCCCCACCCCCCCCCCCCCCCCACCCCCTCCGCTTTTGATTTTACGGAGACCGTGTGTCCGGAGAAAAAAAAAGCATCTACTTTTTAAAACGGATGTGCAACTTGCCCTTCTTAAGAAATTGTTACCTCTCAAGAAATTGTTACCTCCCCTCCCCCCAATAAATACGACGTGCTGCTGAGAAAGTAATTGTCTGATTGTTTTGCTAATTTTATGCATGTATGATGTTTGACACACCTCAAGTAATCTATTTGTTGCTTTCTATAGGGAAACAAAATGTCATTTTCATTCAAGGCTGGCCATAACTTGTAGTGGGATCCAACTTTAATTATAGTGTACGTGTGCCAAGTAGTATACGTTGGGTACATACATTTTCTGTTAAATTGCCTTTAAACTCCACCCACAAATAATAGGGACTTGAGATGCTTTGATGTTTTGCTTTGATGAGGCTGGCCATAATTAGTCAGCATCATTTGGTCCAGGAACCAGACTACGCGCATTGCAGCCGATATTGCGTGCGTGGCGCCAGTAACTGGTACCGTATAGGCCTACGCAAACCAATTATCGACTTGGAACCAAGTCTAACCATGGTTGGGAATTAAATGAAGGTCAAAGTCGCTTTTTATTTGATGTAGATAATTTCTTAACAATTTTTTATTCGAATGTCAGTTATTTTGACATGTTTATGTTTATGACATGTTATGTTTTGAATCCTGTAATTTGTTCCATTCATTCACAAAATGATCCGCAAATTTAGCGAAGATATGAGCAAGCTCCCTGTGCTGCATGTGCTTTAGACTGTATGTTGTGGTGTGAGATTGGGGCTGAATTTGAAGCTGAGTCGAGGCCATTGATCGAGTTGGGCACATATCCGCGGCTAGCTTCAACATGGTAAAAGAATAAAAGAGGGCGCTCTTTTATGTCTAGCACCAATACTGCTTTAACTATAGAGAAACATCCTGGGTCGTTCGGGATCCGACTAATACCTCGTATTAATTCATTTGTGATTGGCATAGCAACGTTTAATATGCACTGAGCTGAGTGCTGCAGATGTTGCATCATACATGTCATAAATAAGTCATTAATCCGGATCTTGCAATCCACACAAGCACTATATATAGTTAGTACATTATTGCTGTTTTTTCTTGTCGTGACGACCACGACATGTGCTCAATTCTTACGTTTTATTTCCAACTTTTGTCTAGGCCCTAGTCTTTCCATTGTGTTTTTTAGTGACACTTTTTTCTAAAGTGGGGACAGCGCCACCAACGTTGTTTTGGAAGGAGGCCCCATTTCACATGATTTTTTAATAGTCGATTGTCTTTTAAAATTAGCTTTAGAATAGAACGAAGCCCACTTTAGTTTCGGTCAAATTATGTGTTTATAAAATCCCCCCCCCCCCCTTGCGCTGGCCCGGGTTTGATTTTGGGGGTTTTCATGGAAAAAATGTTGCAACCTGTCCTGACGCCACTTCTGCGATTGTGTATAAAGTCTATGGAGAGTTAAGAAAATTTTCCAAATATTTCCTAACAAAATTGGAAATATTTTTCAGTAGGCCTACCAAATTCATGTCTTAATAAATTATCATCATTTTTGCAACGAGTGACCTTTATTGAGACGATACGGTATATGAAGAAAAAAGTGGCATCAGGTTGCAACTTTTTTTCCGTTTTCATGCCCCAGGGTGGGGATTTTGGTCACTCAAATAAAAAAATTGTTATTTGCGTATTAGTACATGGGGCCTATGCCAGTATGCGTCCCATGGAAAGAAATCCATACGTACGCCACTGACACTAGTGTTCCCCTGTAATATCCACCATCAGAAATGAATGACACTCCTAAGAAGTGAAATTTAGCAGGGAAAATATTGAAGCATTTTTTTTTGTTGGAAAACACTTTTTCAGACCAGTCTCACATCTTTGTACACAGGGTGTCAAGTGGCGTACGTTTGTATGGAATTCTTTCTGCCCCATGTATCGATATGTATGTTGAAAACTGTCACTTAAATTTTGCCCAGGGGGTGGGGATTTTGTCACTTAATTCAAAAGTGACAATCCCCATGTCTTGGGTGGGGCATCCCAGAGGGGGGGGGGGGGGGGGGGGGGTGGAATTAGGGGCTTTAGAGTCCAGGGTGTTTTTTGCATTCCAAAATGATTTTCTCAACCTAAAACAGACTGGCCTAGCTTGAAATAGCTGGAGTTACTTCAGCCCTATATTTTTATCATTGGGTTGTCATTAGCTGGAGTTACCTCGGCCCTATATTTTATCGTTGGAACCCCACGATAAGATATAGCTGAGGTAACTCCAGCTAGGTTGTCATATGATAAAAATATAGGGCTGAGGTAACTCCAGCTAAGCTTGAAACATTCAGCTCACTATGGCAGGCTCTTAACATTGGAGATTCTCCAGTACATGCTTGAAATGGAATAAGGGTCAATATATCCTCGACCCTCAAGAATCTGCACAGGTAATGCCTTTGTCATGTTAACAGAGCCATGAAATTGCGCCAAGATGATACGTGATTGACTTGTAAAGTCTCGAGGTGAATTCAGTCTGGTATCACCAGCTTAGCTTTGGCCTTTCTTTCCAGTTAGTCCAGCATGGGATGCGGCTCGTCCAATGCGGCCGTCAGCTACCAGTCTGACATCAACACAATGTGGGACCAGGTCAGCCGGACCATCGACATCCAGCGCAACAAGGACAAGAGCCTGGTCATCCGACGGTCTGGATGGAAGACGGTCAGGATCTTTGTATCCTCGACGTTCCGGGACTTCCACGCCGAACGAGAAATATTAGTCAAAGAGGTACATGTAGGTCTTGTGAAAGGGGTGAACGTGTTAGGTCAAGTAAAGTTAAAAAAATAAATCAGTTTCTCATATCCTCAGTCCCGCTTCCTTTTTTCCCAGCCACTTTTTTTTGTTTCGATTTCATACATTTGCAATATATGTTGTGCATTTTTGTCTATTTATTTGTTTCCAACAAAATTGTAGCAATGTAGAAATTGTAACAGCTCCTTTTGACACATGTTTGTATCAACAAAAGAGTCGAATAGATGAAAGAATCCATCTGCCATTTTGGAAATAAAAGGAGGGCCAACTTCATTTTTTCAAAAAGCTTAGACGAGAAACAGGTTTTTTTTCTACTCTGCCTTATATGCACCCGACTTGACTATCGCGGTCCCAACTGAAGCTGGGACTATTCCAACTAAAGTCGGAATGCTCGAGTTCGTACAGGCTTGAGTTCGCATCATCCCAACAGAAGTCAGGGTGTAATGTCCGTACCATGATCTAAACAACCCTCGTATAAAACCAAATTCCTGTGTGAAACCTTGGACTTGACTTGTAAAACATTACGACATCCATCCCTCTGTAGGTGTTTCCTGATCTGCGTGTATGGTGTGAGAAAAGGAGACTCCATCTTGTCGACTGTGACCTCAGATGGGTGAGTGCATTGTTAAAGTTAATAAGTAAAGCCGTACGTGTCCGAATGTGAAGCGGCTGCAGCGGCTACCATAGACTTGTGTGTAATTTCAAGCCGTAGCCAAGTCATTCAGACACGGCTTTACTCTGTTGTTATCAAGTTGTAATCGAGTTGTAATAAGTAAATTTGTTTCAAAATAAATGCGGATTGAGCATACATTGTTCCCCCAAGACTCAAAGATGAAAAAAAAAAAAAAAAAATTGTAAAATGTAGCAATTTTTCTAGCAATACAAAAGTTATTCACTTCTGAATGAGACAGCGACCTAAAAAAAAGCTTGTTCAGTTATTGAATTATTTAGTTTAAAATTTTTGAATTATTGGCTGCCAGACAATAATTCCGTTCTCGCGGGGTGAGGCTGGTTCCCGCCCGACAACCAGTATCGATAATGTATGAAACACTTTGTAGTGCATGCCCACCATCCTGTTAAATTGACCTCTTCCCTTGATTGCCAATCGTTATTAATCCAGGGAGTTCCGAAGGACACCACAACAGAAGAGACGCTACGAACATGTCTGGGAGAGATTGACAGGTGTTACCAAGACAACGTTATGCCATTCTTCCTCAATTTGACAAGGTAAAAATAGTCAAACCTCCCCCACCCCCCCCAAAAAAAAAAAATAAAAAAGAAACCCTGAAGCGTCTCTCGCTTAAGATGAATCTCCGCTCTTAGATTGATCTAAGGTTAAGTCTTTTCAACTGCAATTGTCAAAGTCGTTGAGACAGTTTGTTATCCATGGACGACAGGTTATTGTTGGTTTATGCACCCTTTCTCTTTGCTGAACTCAATTAAGTTAATTGTATTGTTCTCCAGTTGTAAATGTTCACTTATCTTGGTCCAAGATCGGATTTGGATTTCATTCCGCTGTTAATACACACACAGTGAATCAAATCCAGTCTTGGGAATTTCGGCAGCGCTACCCAGTAAATTCCAAGCATACCTCGCATGCATGCTTAGATTTGTATCTCGACTACAGCATGCGTGAGGTATGCTCAGAATTTTCTGGATAGCACTGCCGAAGTTCCCCACAGACTGGATTTGTATCGTCTTGTCGATATCGACCTCTGCCATCCGTATTTGCGGAATAAAATCCAAATCCAATCTTGGACCAGTTGTTTGAAGTGTGATTGTTTTTCTGAGTGCAAAATCTTTCTCTTATTCTTGATGTGACCACCAAGCTCCCACCGACTGCTGAAAGAGTGAGAAAAAATTACTGAACAGAAATTCCCTGCCGTAAATCCAACTCTCTGCGATTAGATATAAGGGTGAGTAAAAAAAAAGCTGAACCCAAACTCTCAAAAATATATTTCATATTTAAAAAAATATGTAGCACCAAAAATAGTAATTTCATATGCTACTTGTTGATGAAAAAATTACTGAAATTGCTCAATCCGTTCAAACATTATCACCATTTAAACGCAATGACCCTAAAACTTGTCTTGTCCAAAAAAAAGCAATTTGTTGTGTGTTTTGACTGTTTGGAACAACAACAAAAATGACACACAAGATTTGTTTCAACAACTGTCAGCAACTGTAGTACACAATATCTTTAAAAAACAACCCTGATTAGGCAAACAACATGATTTATAAAATCCACTTTTTTAAAAAGACGGGCCTTCTAAAGGAATTTGTTGAATATTTTTATCTTTTAAACTGAGGTTTTATCGCTGGTGATGTTTGAAGACAATTGTGACGACGATTCTTGAAATCGCATTTTTGGACGAGACAGGTTTTGGGGTCATTGTGTTTGAATGGTGATATTCTTTGAACGGATTGAGCAATTTCAGTAATTTATTCATCTAAAAGTAGCTTATGATATTGGCTTTCCAGTCATTATTATTTTTGGTGCTACATATTTTTTTAAATATGAAAAATAATTTTTGGGATTTGGGTTCCGCTTTTTTTGACTCGTCCTGTATAAAGCCTCGACCATTTTCATAAAAAAAGGAATTTTGGACAGTCATCAACAATTTCATTGAATATGTTTTTATTGATTAAAATTAATGAAACTACACTTCATTCAAATGGAATAAAAAAAATTTAAGGAAGAAATTAATCAATATTTCATAGCTTTTTAGGTTCAAAGACTTTGAATGACTGAATTTTTCACCGCAAAACTTTAAAAGTTTAGAAATTAGGCTTCCTGGTCAGTTGTTTTACTATTCATGAACCATCAAACTGATCAAATCATTTATTGACAAAATACATGAAAATACATGGAAATTGGAAATACATGAATTGGCTTTGTTTTACATAAAATATTGTTTTCTGTTCCACTGCAAAAAACGTGTAGAAAGTTGAGGCTCTGTGGGATCTTGGTGTCTATTTCTCGACATTGTTTTTGTTTCCTCTTTGTCTTTCAGCCCTACTCTTTTCCCAGCTTCATGTTTTTCAGGAACCAGTGAAGGGTATGAAGTTACAATGTACAAGGCAAAGTTGTTTCGCTTTTAAATTTTGCTATTCAAAATAAAGAAATTGGGCAGATTCATTTACATGGTGGTAACTGCTCCAGAGATCTGGGCTCCACTTCTGCATTCAGTCCGTTTTTGTTGTCGTTTTTTTCCTTTCTCACCTAAATTCATTCATTTCTTTCGTGTCAAATTGCTTCACGGAGAAAATGCTTTTAAAAAAAAATGTCACAGCGATCATTGCAACGTTATTGTTCATGACATCCCTCCAACACAGTGCGTTTGCCCAATCGTAATGCATGCTTTCAAAGATGCCTTGAAGATTTTATTGAAGCAACAATGATTAAAACCGAATAGTTTATTGCAAAATGGCTTTTTGCTGAATATACATGTATTTTTTTATTAACAATAAATTTATGTCTACAAGTTAATTAGAGAGCATGGAAGTCTATAAAACTAACAATATGCAGATTATCTGAATCCAATTTGCCATTTCGAATCCTAATCAATTCAGCACTTTTGCATGAAAAAAAACCCCTGTGTATTGTTGTACCTTGGTGGTTTACCTTTTTTGAGTTCTTTCTTCAGATGTGTTGTTATTACAGCAGAGCATTTTACTGCACCCCATTTAAATTTTAAAAAAGAAAGAAACAACAATGGCAGATACAATACATGTACATGCAGAGCGCAGAGAAATGAAATTAAAAATGGGGTATCAGACATTAATTCACCATTTACCGTATGTGTCAAAGCAAATTATTTTCTGTTGCAGGTAACGACTCACATTTTAATTGACTAGGATGCTTTTTTCCGAGTCGTTTTTGTGTCTAATTGCACTGTCTGCATGCATATGTACATGTATGCAACAAAATATATAGGTGCAGGCTTTCAAGTATTTCTACTTTTCCTAGTTTTTCCTAGTTTTTTTGTTTAACTTGCTCCCACTCTTTCCTACTTTTTCTTGAAATTCCTACTTTTTGGTCCCACAACTCCGAAAAAAAAAGAAATCTCATCGAATATTTGTCATAATAGTGGTACACACTGTCATATGTAAATCACACAATGAAGGGCTTGTGTGCATGAGTTATTGTACTTCCAAGAGCTTAGTTGAGGAGGGAGCACAAGTGTTGTGGGTACAGAACATGCCAAATGAGGCTTTTTATGGTGCCGTGGACAGGGGTGAGTATAAACGTAATCCTGAAAGCCAGCAAAAGTCCTACTTTCATCCTGATTTAATTTTTTTTTTAAATTTGTATCCTACTGTTCTACTTTTTCACCTGGGTCTGCTTGAAAGCTTGCAAGTGGTACATGTATATCCTATGCACTACCTTGTGCATACTTTTCAAAATACATATACATGTAACAAGTATTTTTAAACGCTGCTTTTCAGCTTGTTTCATTACAGAGGTCATTCATTTGCCTAATATACATGCATTTTTTTCACCATACTCGTTACAATTTTGTGCTGTGACATTGTCCGCGGCATTTTGCATTTAAATTGAACCTGGCAAATGTCAACACAGGCATTTCATAGTCTACAAGACCTAAGTTACAGGAAAAAATCGGAAGTCATTTTGAGAATGACAGGCTCGTTTTGTTTGTTTTACAAATTTGTTTTGACAAGTTCTTTGTGTGTCTTCATTTTTGTTTATTTGTTTTAATCAGAGGTCAACTGCTTTGGGTGTTACTTGGTTCTTGCCATTCCCTGTGTGCAGTCTGTATTTCAACTGTGTTTTATAAAACAGTAGGAACAATAACATTTAAATGTCTTGTAGGGCTGTCCATTTTTAAATAATGTAGTATTCGATTTAATACTCAAAACTGTGTTTGACCAAATATTCGGATATTTGAAACTTGCCCCCTCCCCCCCCCCCCCCCCCCCCGAAAAGCAAAAAAAAAAAGGAAGAAAGAAAAAAGAAAAGAAAAAGAGGCGCGAAGTCATATTGGTGTAAATTTAATGGGGGGGGGGGGGGGAAATGTCCCTGCCCCCTTCTTAAACTGATAAATGAGAAATACAGGAATTTTGTGAAAAAATATGTTGTGCCCCCCACCCCCCCGACAAAATCCTGACGGCGCCCATGCCAGTCCATGCCAGTGCAGTCCATTCGTACACCTACTTCAGATGTACTTGTGTATCACAACCTAATAATATGGTATGACAATGTTGAATGCTTGAAACCTTTAATCACTTGCTTTAAGTTAATGCATGTAAGCAATGCTTTTCTTCAAACTAGCACTAAAGCATGCTTCACAAATTCCTAACCAGCAAGAATGACACTTAGATAACCTAGTTTTTCCCTTGTTAAAAAACTCTCGGTCAGGATTAGATTCTGGGCGGACTGGGAGTTTCATGGCCCTGGTTCTAGTACTCACAGAGCTGTCTGCTTTCGCCAGATGGCCAGTTTCTGATTACGGCTTTAGCAAAGAAATTTGTGAGCTCCTCTGAAGCGAACAGCCTTAGTAATGAGATGTGCACATGGATGCTCATCAAGCAAATTTCCTTGCAAACTCAATCCAAGAGTCACAATTAGATTCAGAATCAATGCCAAATTTACCCATTTATTAAAAAAAAAGTGGAGTAAAACCACATTTTAAATATCACTAATGAGCTGTTTTGTGTTATAACTAGTTCAGGGCCATCAAGAGGTAAAATCCTTCCCTTAAAAAAAATAAGTGTCCTCAACAATTTTGATTTGGAGTTCTTGGAATGTATTCTTTGGTGACCAGTGGAATTGAAATGATTTCTCAAAAAAGTAGAGTCAAGATTCCAGTCTGAGGCTTGGAATTGGTCTGTTTGATTTCTGAGTGGGATCCTTCAACCCTGCAGACAGTCGTTTCATGATCTAATGAAGGAAATTAAAAGAATACCTTCTGTGGTCAGTTGGTTGTATAACCATTGTTTCCTCATTGTCATGTCTTGTGTGCAGTGAGCGTTGCGGCTGGATTCCTAATCAAAGCGAGGTCCCAGAATCCATTGCGGCAGACTACCGCTGTGTCCACGGATTGTCCGTCACCGAGATGGAGATCATGCATGGCGCGTACAGAAAGGACAACTTCAATTGTAAGTCAGTTTGTGTTCAGATTTGTGTTGATTGCCCCAATTTACCAGTTTCAAATACAGTAAACTCCGGCTAAACCGACATCGTACAACTCTTCAAATCGCTCAAGTCGGCCGTCTAACTAAAGTCCCAATTGTCCGTAATGCATTACCATTGAATGTTTTATTTCTAAGTTGGATTTTATAAGTCGCCATTTCGCTCAAGTCGTCGTGTTACTTTCGGTCCCCTTTCCATAAAAAGCATTACAAAATCCTTTGTGTAAGTCGGCATTCAACAAATCACGCATTGGCATCGACTTCCTGTACTGCGGTTGGCAAAGTGTCGAGTGAAAAGTGGTTTCGCACGGCCCGTGATCGCTGCATGCATCGGTCGCGGTGTCGAAAAGGGGTGTCCTACTGCATACATCGCATATGCATTGTGAGCATATCAATACCAGTACCCCCTCTAGTCTGTACGCATGGGCTCTGTCCATGTTGGGGGTAGTCTTATTAAATGACTAGTGCTGCAGTATATTAAATTTGTGCGTGGTATATACCAGACCACGCATGCATTTAATTCGTTACTCTGCACGTACACATGTATTACTATTTTGTACACATTGTCTCCATATATCAATACCCAAACGTGATGATACAATTCGAAGATTAATTTGCTGGATTCAACTCAAGCATTCTTTGACCTTTCCATTCCCCAAAGTCTATAAATTGCTCCGTTTCATCTTAAGTGGGGTCAGGGACGCCAGACTACAAGAACATGATTAGTTTTCTTGCTTTCTCCAGCATCTACAAGCCCAAAACCTGAAACAAGTCATTTTTACAATATTTGCTATAACATACTAATCCTCAAAATCCATTTCTTTCTGAAAATTGCAGCAAAAGCAAATGTTGCACGTTCCCTTTAAACTAGTTGAAGAGTTTCTGGTGTGTTTTTCCTTTCGTAATTTTTTATTTTTATTTCTTCCCAACCCAGCTCTCTTTATGATCCGAGATTCAGGATTCTTGGAGAGCGTTCCTGAGAAGCATCACAAGGACTTTGTGGACGTCAACCCCATCGCTCCAGCCAAATTGAAGATGTTGAAACAGATGTTGAAAGACCGCTTTGGGGTAAGGAAACGGTTTTGGTGCTTTGTAGCGGTAGTCATCAGTAATCGATGGACGCCGTGCGCAAGAACGCTGACTGGTGAAATCAGAAAGCAATATTAAAAGAGCAAATGCATTGTCATTTTTAAAAATTATTCATCAGAGCAGAGTGGTATTAATTTGTAATTAACTTAATTTCATTGCTTTCATTTTTTCGCAAGTTCCAAAATTTAAGATTTTTATCTTGCTTGTAATTTAAGATAATTTAAGACAAACTGAAAAGTTTTGTGCATTATGTACATGTGTACGTGAACGTGTTTGTAATTAAAACATACCGGTACACAGGTTTACATTTATTTGTATATTGGAGGTGATTGCTAATAATGATTTGTACATTTGTCCACAGAGTAACCAAGTGCATTTCTACAAGTGTGAATATGACGGAGTGAATGACCAAGGCAAGGTGGAGTTCAAGGGACTTGATAAGGCGTTAGGAGCTACGGTAAGTATACTGTCATGTCTGAGTAGTAGTAGTACAGGGAGGGTCAGTAAGAAAGTGACCTGATGGATTAATGATAATTTTTTTCTCCTCAAAAAGCAATCAAATTTGATACACCAATGAGGTATGTCTTCAAAGAGCATGTTCTTCCACTCGTCTAAAAAGAAAAGTACTGAAATTGATCCATGACCTTATTTTTATAGCTGTCCATGGAATGCCATTGATCCGGTCGTATGATGATTGTTTTTTGTTTTCAAAATTAATATAAATTCATTGTACTTTTGTTCATTTGTTGGCCGAATGAATAATAATAAAAAATAATAAAGGATTTTGTCAAACTGGAGGCTAAATAAATTGGACTCAATTTGCATAGTTTTATATATATTTCAATAAATGTACATTTAAATCAATATCTTCTTTTTTTTCCAAAGGTGTTTAAGCACTTCAAGCAGATGATCAGTAAGCAGTACCCCTTAGAGGATTCCAATTTAGATCCCTTCCAGCAAGCCAAGGAGGCCCATGAGGTATTTTTGTAATTCGGTACATGTACCTTTTCTGCAACTGTTTTATCCGTGACCACGACATACCTAAAAGTGTGTTAACCCTAACTCCCGAGGCCCTTTTTGCTAGGAACTATCCTCAATCCTCCAAAATTAAAAGTTTGCACTTGAAGGATGTTCAGTGCCTCAATCCTTCAAAATTGTCAGACAGTCCTGCCTCAAAAAAATGCATTCATCCTCAATCCTCCAATATCCTCCTCCTTTTCAAACACCTTTCATCCTCAATCCTCCAAAATCCTCATGTGCCTTGACACCATTCATCCTCAATCCTCCAATATCCTCCTCCTTTTCAAACACTATTCATCCTCAATCCTCCAAAATCCTCATGTGCTTCAACACCATTCATCCTCAATCCTCCAATATCCTCCTCCTTTTCAAACACCATTCATCCTCAATCCTCCAAAATCCTCATGTGCCTTGACACCATTCATCCTCAATCCTCCAATATCCTCCTCCTTTTCAAACACCATTCATCCTCAATCCTCCAAAATCCTCATGTGCTTCAACACCATTCATCCTCAATCCTCCAATATCCTCCTCCTTTTCAAACACCATTCATCTTTAATCCTCCAAAATCCTCATGTGCCTTGACACCATTCATCCTCAATCCTCCAATATCCTCCTCCTTTTCAAACACCATTCATCCTCAATCCTCCAATATCCTCCTCCTTTTCAAACACCATTCATCCTCAATCCTCCAAAATCCTCATGTGCTTCAACCCTATTCATCCTCAATCCTCCAATATCCTCCTCCTTTTCAAACACCATTCATCCTCAATCCTCCAAAATCCTCATGTGCCTTGACACCATTCATCCTCAACATCCTCAATCCTCCAAATCCTCGTGTTCTCAAACACCATTCATCTCTCAATCCTCCTCAATCCTCTTCAATCCTCCAAGCAGCCGGGAGGATTTTGGCGGATCGAGGTGGGTTAGGGTAAATGTACTTTTAGACAATGCGAAGAAAACTGGTTACTGTTTTCTTGGTTGGTGGACAGATTTCAATCTTCTCCCCCGATAGTGTGGTATTAAACAGATTTTGTTGTTTTATTTGACGTTGATTTAAATTTAATAATTTGTCTGTGAATGACTTTTTTTTCTTTCCACAGCATTCAAAAATATGGCCTTGCATGAGAACAGAATTGTTGTCTGGTGTCAATTGTTGATTTTGGTGTCAATATCGTCAGATTTCAGCTTATGGCCTATCTGAAAAGACACCAGCCGAAAACTCAATAAGCTTTTGTTTGAAAAAAAGAAGAAATTGTGACGGTGATTTTGAAAAATATGTATAGTGGAGCAATCCCCCCCCCCCCCCCCCCCCCTTTCCCTAAGCTGCATGAGGGATTTACTGAAGACTTAAGCATTTGATTCTGTACTTTTCACATCATATGGGGTTTTTTTTTTGGTCTCTGCAGTCTTTCATGAAGAATCGCAGTGTTTCTGTGCTGGGTCGCACGGACATTTTGGAACAGGTATGTCATTAGATGAGTAATTGTTGCCTTTCGTTAGAGTCTTCCGAATTAAATGTATAGTATGATGTCACAATGACTGTGTCTTAAAATGTACATCATTGTATACATTTGTATACAATTTGTTTAGAATTTGTATCTGTCAGACGCAAATTCCATCTCATAAAAAGTATTCACATGTGTGAAGTAGGAACCATCTCTAAGAAGAAAGTTTAGAGTTTGAGTCTCACTTGATTAATTATGTTGTTTTTTTTCTCATCAATCCTCAGACAACACTGATTGCACAATGCTTATATAGTTAGATCTGTGAACAGCAAAGCCTAGTACTAATACATCTCAGTGATGGATGAGAACATTCCATCAAGAGTATTACTAGGTTATATAGTTTTGGGTCCTCCAGTTCATTTGTTTGAAATTTTGTTTGAATGATCTGGATTATCTAGATCAAGGAGCATGTGGTAGGGGTAGGCGTGGAGGTACCTTTGTTGCTTCTAGGTGGTCCAGGCACGGGCAAATCCTCCATCATGGCTAGGGTGTCAGACGTGACTGTGTCCAAGGCACTCACTAAAGAAATACCAGGGTGAGTTTGGATAGCAGTTGGTGTCAGTGTTGTAGTCGAGTCCATCACAAGTCCAGTCACATGTAGATCACAAGACTAGTAACAAGTCCATTCACAAGTCCATCACAAGTGACTGTGGAAGAACAAAAACAAAGGACTGCCTTCGTCACAGTTCATTTGAATAGCTTGTGACTTGACTTGAGACTGGAGGACTTGTGATGGACTTGTGATGGACTTGCAGGGACTTACAAAGGGAGATTAAAGGGATACCACTGGGGTGACTCTTGAACGCATTGCTGACGGCGCCAGATGGGTCATTCTATAAATTTGGGGTCCAAAGTGTGACATTTTTCCCGTCCCTGATACCTTGGTACTTTGTAATTTGCCATTCAAGCATCATTAAAAGTGACTTCAAATGATTGTTTATTTGTTGGGTAGGTAGTTTAATATTCATAATCACTCTTGGAGGATGACTGCATTAAGAAGTGCATCAGAATTATACAATCATAGATGTCAGATGTAACAGGGACGGGAAAAAAAGTGGACACCAAATTTATAGAATGACCCAGATGCTCACGCGAAGATGCTATGGGCTTGTGCATACTCAGGATTAAATCAACCGCGTGTGCTGTTTACAATTTTGCGCACGAACTAGTACAGGCACGTGGCGTGTCCCTCCCACTGGTGCTCTTGAAAAGTAATCAAAAAAAGGCTTTCTAGGGTAAGAGCCCTGCGATGTGTCGCTACCTAAGTTACAATATGTAACACGTTGCAACTCTTGACTCATCGTACAATCCATTTCGTGAAACTTGCGATGTGTTGAACATGTCGTATTAGTTCCTTGACAATGACTTAAAACATGTCACAGTTATGACGTGTCTAGTGGTCATTGCAAAATAAGAAGCGTCCTTTTCTCGGCCAGTTTTATACCATAAAAAAATACATAAACGAGACTCGAATACCGAGACAATGTGTGTAAAGTTGTAAATGGAAGATGCATCAAAGTAATTATGAATTAGCCTGGAATATTGCAGTGGAAAGTTCAAAGTAGCCATACAGTCCATTGCGAGCTTGTTTTTTTTTTAAACTACATCACACGTCCGCCATTCTGTTTTACGTTTTAAAAACTTTCGAGAGGAGAAACGACGACTCTTTTGAAAATTAGACGACTATTTATTGTACACTGAATAAATACATCGTAAGTTACGATGAGTTTCGCGAAATCGGGTGCTGGCCACATGACTAGAAAGCTATTACAGGTGTTGGTGAGATCGCATCTTCAAGTCCTAACTGCTTCAGTGTATCTCTTTAGTTTATAATATAATGAATTGTGTTTAAACTTTTTAACTCCCAGAGGTGGGACGCAGGGCTGGCACGTCTTCTACCACTTTGTCGGAGCCGTTCCTGGCTCGCCCAATCTGGAAGCTACACTAAAACGCCTCCTGAAAGAACTGGGTGCGGTCAATGTAAGTTTTGGTTTATAAATAATGAGCTTGTTTAAAAAAAAATTATATTGTGAGTTTCTTTAACAACTCCTCCTTCCTTGCATTTTTTTCACCAGCCTCATCCTTCTCTATACTCCCGCTTTGGTTACATACATGCATGTAAAACTAAATACCTTATGGTTTTACTACGAGAAGCTGAGATACTTCATCCCAGCTTTTCCCAAGTTGTTAGCTGATTATGAGCCTCTTGAACACAAGACCCTCCCCTGAACAAGATTGTAAATTTGTTATCAGAAAGACAGATATTATTCATAGTCATCAGAGAAATCTGTTCGGGCAGATTTTTTTTTCTTGAATTTGTACACGAAAAGCATGAATTTTAGGTGAATTGATAAACTGAATTGATAAACGGGGCGTGTAATTGTGCGTAATTCATATTATCTTGTATAGTGCTATAGTTATGGACATCTGAATTGTTGTAAGAATTTAGCCCTATTATCTAGCTCTCCGATACAACATAGCATAACACAGAAAAGCCTAGATCCAAGGGTCTAGAAAGTAAAACTTCAATTGTCCAAACCATGCTTGAGTAGCAGAAATGCTGATTGACATTGTGCTGTTGTATTCTCACGCAGGACACCACCATGCCTAAAGACTTGGAGACGGCCTGTCAGCTCACCTACGCAACTCTATCCAACCCCAACACCCGACCTCTGATTATTGTCATTGATGCTCTCAATCAGGTAAGAGAGACTAGCCGAAGGCATAACATTTTTATTTGCCAGTTAAATTTGCATTCCCCATGCTATTTTTGAGTTTCATCCCCAATATAGATTCTTTTTTCTAGATTGCTATTTTTCTAGCAATACAAAAGTTATTCACTTTTGAAAGAGACATCGACTGAAAAAAATTGAACTATAAAAACCCCAAAGCTATAAAAATATCAAACCATGGCACAACAAAACAATTGTTTTCTGCCATGATGTAGTCACGTGTGATGTTTTATTTTGTGGACAAAAATAGTTTGATGAATCCAAGGAGTCCACCATTCTGAACTGGCTGCCCAACAAGCTGAGTCCCCAGGTTCGCTGTATATTCTCCATGATTGATGAGACCCCGCAGCACAAGACCCTACGCTCACGACCCAACAAACCCACTGAAGTCTACGTCACGCCCCTGGACATGACTTCAAGGGAGGTAGGTTCCGCCAATTCAAACCCAGTACATTATATGATATTGAATGTCTTTGAGGGGGATACAAGAATATATTGCATGAGCTATAACAATATTGCACTAGTCAAAGACGAGTGTTATATTGTTATAGCGAGTGCCCAATGTTGGCGTTTTCCAAGTTTGTCAGTATCTAATTTGGTCAAGTTAAAACCACTCATTTCATGTGCAAAATGAAAAGTGTTCAGCAGTGTCTTCAAATAAAATACAAAAAATCCCATGATGAACTGCAAGCAGCAGTCAATGCCAGTTTTTATCTTAAAGGTTTGTTTAAGGGAATAAATGTGTGCGCGTACTGCATGATGTGGCGCAGAACGCAGCTGTGCCAGTGTAGTGTGAATTTAGGAGTATGAAATACGGACTCATTTGTAGGTTTGCATGCTCACCGAGGATTGTGAACGTTCAACCAAAATAAGGGTTAATGGGACCGGATTTCATAGGAGTCCTAATTTCATGTGACACTGGAAAAGTGTTTAAGACTGGCCAGCTGGTGTTTTATCAACCGTTAAGACCGACCACTTGACGGGCTCTTGACCAATTGGAATGGGTAAACTGTCTTATGAATGGATTCTTAAGGTGTCCATTTTTTCCTGTTTCTGATTCAGTTATCATGATTCCATGAAAGCTACACAGAGATGTTAGCAATCATTTTCTCAGTGTACGTTATATTTTCAGGAAAAATATTCTTGATCCTGATGAAGGTATGCAAGACATGAAGCAGCTTGAGATGGCAAAAGAATTACTGGCATTTGGCATCAGATTTTTATCATAAGTGCCTTGAAAGATGACCTCCTCATTGACATTTCTTGCTCCAGGCAATTGTCAAAGAGACCCTGGGTAAATACACGAAGCGTCTGGATGCCCAGCAGATGGCCAGCCTGCTCAGTAAGGACTCTTCCCAGAATCCTCTGTGGCTGTCGGTGGCGTGCGAAGAGCTCCGAGTCTTTGGCTCCTTTGAGTCGTTATCAGACAAGATCAACAGCTTGGCAGACGGCTTGCTCAAGTATGTTGACTTCCTTCAATGGATCCAGTGTGGAAACTATTGTGATGTGTGCCCTCACGCACTAGTGTCATTTACAAATTAAGGCTGAAATGAATGTTTTTGTAGATTGTGTGTCTAGAGACAAAGCCAAAGTTTGAAAAACGCACCATGTCTTAATTCTGGGCCAAATTTTATTTTAAACAATGTAGGAATCGCTCTGTCCTACTGTCTCAATACGATCAAATATGTTTACTTTAGTTTACTTGTGAAAATGCAAAGAAATCTGGGTGCTTGATTTTAGGCCAAAAAAAAAATACTTGGTCTCTGGTCAGCGCGTGTGCGTCGATTTTTCATGCGCGTCAACCTTTTTTTTCTTTTTCAAATTAACACGGAAGCTACAACAGTTCCCTCTATTGCCGCACCTCCTCAAATTTTTGTACCAAGGAGCACCAAAGAATGGGGAAATTGCACCAAGGCAAATGATAAAGGGCACCAAGGCAAATTATTGAGGACACCAATGTATAATGAGGACACAAAAAAGCAAACTAGTACCCGCCTTGTCTGTACAATTCAAGCTTGAAAAAAAAAATCCACCAAAAAAGAAAAAAACCTGCATCGGCGCATCAATTCCGGAACTTTGGTCTGACCAGAGACCGATTTTTTTTTTTGGCCTTAACTGTGGCTGTGTCTGTGCAGCAGTGATGTAGTGCCTTGATGCTGGGCCTTGGCCTTAAGGCTGCCTTAAGGCTGGATTTTAGGGCCTTGGCCTTGGCCTCGAGGCTTGAGGGCAAAAGCCTTGGCCTTGGCCTTGGCCTTGAGGGTTCAGGGCCTTGCAATTTTGAGTCAAGGCTCTTCAAGGCCCATAGATTTTTGCATTTTCCAGATAAATCTGTTCGAAATTTTGCTGTTACCATTTTGATCGTATTACCATGGAGGAGGGAAACACCCTATAGATTTGTGTGTTGGGCACACTTCCACTTTTGTAGCATCACATTTTGTTACCATTGTAGTAGATTTGCTGCGAAAAATATTCTGTACACTTGTGGGGCTAATGAGATGATCACTTTAATTGCATATAAGTATGGAATAGATCTGATTGGTTGTATATGTCTCCCTGATAAGTGCTAAAGATTTGCATGTATCTGTTTTAGATAATGCTGATATTTCTGACCATGTTGGGCCAGCAAATAAAATTTTCCCAAATCAGTTTCTTGGATCCCCCTTTTGCTACACTTGGGAGAATTGTGTGTCAATATAGAAGTAAATCATTATTTTGTTTAGTTAAACCATATTGAAGACCTGAACTTATACTTTAATAGATACAGTGCAGTCATAAAACGGTGTAGGCCTATGCGAGCATGTTGATTGCAATTAAAGAAATGTTGTTCTTCGTAACGAGCAATTCGTGATGATAAGGGCGGATCCAGGGGGCCAAAAGGGGCCATGCCCCCCCCCCAAAAAAAACCATTTTTTTTTATGTGACGTTGTAATAAACAGGCAATGAGTACACCACCATCTTTTCCTCAAAAAACATCGGTTAAAATGGTCAGAAATTGCCTCAAATCGCACCACAGACCATCTCGAATCCAAAACTTTTTCGGGGCCCTTAAGCGGGCCCCGGAGCCCAAGCCGTAATTTTTTGACCCACTTTTTTTGGGGGGGGACCCAAATTTCTTTGCCCTCCCCCCAAAATTGTGTTCTGGATCCGCCCTTGTGTGATGATGTGTCACTCATGTGACTATAATTAGTTCTATATCAGTGGTCATTTCATAAAATAGGGCCTTGGCCTTGGCCTTGAGGGTTAAGCCTTGGCCTTGGCCTCGAGGCTTGAGGGTCAAAGCCTTGGCCTTGGCCTTGAGGTTCAAAGCCTTTGCTCCAACACTGCTGTGCAGTAATTTCTCCATTTTTTTTCAAAATGATCATGTTTTATTTGCTTTGGTTTACAACAATGCAAACTTTCCTCGGATCAGCCAATTTCCTCATTTTTGTTTTAAATTCCCATGTCTGCCTTAAAAAATTGAAAACACTGTACAAAGTCCATTTTAATCCAGGAACCTCCTCTGTTATATGGCTTTAAAGTTGCATAGCCCGCTTGAAGATTACTGGAGAAAGTACTCTTAAATTTTAGGTTCAAGAGAGAAAATTGAATTAATTTTTCTATGCCATTCTTCGAAGTTTGTGTCTATTATTTGAAAACTGCAGTTGTGCCTGTGCAGTAAATTTTCCCACTTTCTGTCTAAATGTTCGAAACTTGCTTGCTTTTCTTTAGTTTATTGGCGCAAATCCTGACCCGTTTTGAGCAGGAGAACGGCGGGGAGATGCTGGTAGCTACCCTGTGTCTGCTGGAGTGCTCATGCCACGGTCTGCTCGAGACAGAACTGCTCTCCATCCTAGGAGACGAGGATAACCTGATGCCTCCCAAGGAAAGCTCAGGGAAGGAGAAAGGAGAGAAGGGTAAGGGAGCTTAACCCTCTAAGATGGGAGGGGGTGTAAAGGCCACCTTAGAAGAGGCCTTCTGATCTCAGAAATGAAGTGATTGATTTTTTAATGAAATTTGTTTGCTGTTAGAGACATTTGTACAGGCGTCCCAAAATACCCGAAATGTTTTTTAGCAAGGCTCTAGCGTCCCCGAAGAAACACGTAATGCCACTATTTTTAGATCATTTTAAAGCATGGAATCTTAACTTTATCCCTGGTAAGTTGTTGGTTTGATTTTCAAAGGGTTTGAACTGATACTTGCTTAAATAAAGGCGTGGGATTGGGAAAAACAAACTCAACCAATTTCAAAGAAAATCAATCGTGCGCATTTTTTCTGAAGTGGAAATGGTTCGTGTTCAAGATGTGACAGTTTCGTTGCCTTTTACTTTGGGTGTTTTCTGGTTGTTTTTTTCAATCCACATCTTACAATAAATTCTCAATATTGTTATTCTTTCAGATTCAATTTTGAAATTCAAGTGCTAGTATGAACTTGTTCAAAAAGCACGCTCAAAGTGTGACTCGAGTTTGCATCTGATGTTCCGCATCATTGATTGTCTTTTAAATCGGTTGAGTTTGTTTTTCGACATGCCTTTTTTTGCAAACAAATAATTTGAAAACTCTAACTTTTAACTATCAAATGAATGCTCGCCAGGAATAAAGTGGAATTCCAAGCTTTGAAATGATATAAAATAGTGCTCACCCCACCAATCATCCTTATCTTTTTTACTCACAGAGTCCAGGGAAAAGGGGGCATCAGATATCGGCCCACTGTCGGCCCACAAGTGGGCTCGGGTGTTCCGCGCTCTGAAGCCGTTCCTGCGGCCGTTTGGTGACAGCGGGGAAGGCAGATTGGATTTCTATCATCGCTCCCTCAGCAAGGCCGTCAGGGCTAAGTGAGTAGTAGACTTGAAGTTGTTAGACGTGTTGTTAGAAGTTGTCGTGTTTGGTCTGTTGCACTGCCAATAACACCCAAATTAATCCTTGTCATATGATTGGAGGATTATCATTATTGGTCACGCGGCATTCATTAACCCTAACCCTGCCAGACGCAGCACAGTGCATCAGGTGGAAAAGAACTGGTGCACTTTGATGCGTTCAGCTACCAACACCAGTGCATGAATGGCCAGCTCTGAAACAATGAGAGCTAAGTCCCATGAAACAATGCCACAGTTGTATCCTGCTGCATGCGGTGACCACCGACTCTGAGGCAGTGTGGCCTTGAGACTTTTCCCCTGATGGATCTTGCTACACTGGGCAGGCTTGTCACTTAGTCAAGAGTTGCATGTTGCCACGTTTGGCAGGGTTCTAGCAAACATACCCTGGAGGGTTAGGGTTAATGAACCATTGCACGGCCTACGTCATAACTGTGCATCTTTGGTTCCAATCACCGTGCATTTTCGTCCCATCCCTTTTGATTTATTGCACGCCGTGCGCATGCCAAGACGGGCAGTGGCAGGGCGCTACACGATCCTAGCGCTATGTAGACCATATCGTGTTTTGTCTGTTGCACTGCCAATAACACCCAAATAAATCCTTGTCATTTGATTGGAGGATTGTAGGTCACGCGACATTCATTAATGAACCATTGCACGGCCTACATCATAACAATGCATTTTTGGTTCCATTCACCGTGCATTTTTCGTCCCATCCCTTTCGATCTATTGCACGCCGCACACACGCTTGAAGACGCCCAGCGGCAGGGCGCTACACGATCCTTGCGCTATTTAGACCTTATCATAGGTTATGGCAGTACAAAACTTGTCTTTGAAGTTGATGCAGTTGCCTTGATTTTTTTTTGGCTTTATTTTAAATTCCAATGTTAATTTTTCATTATATGTCAAAGCCCACAGAGTTCAATGTATCCTGCAAACTATACCCTGTCATTAGGAGGATATTTCATGAGGCGCTCATCACTTTCTGTTGGCATGGCTGTGCGCTGGATGGGAACTTCTGGTGAAATCAGATAACCGTTATTTGGTTCGCAAATCTCCAATTTCTCCCACCACTAGCATGAAAAAATAAGTTCTTTTTTTTTAAATTTTTTGTGACTACAGGTACTTCAGCGGCCAAACAGGGAACAATGCAGGCCGCTCAGTTGACAGGTTGTACCAATGGTGGCACAGCAAACTAGCCAACTATTTTGAGAAGGTTGCGAACCTAGAGCGCAAGGCAGAGGTATGTTGAGAAAAGGTTAAGTCAGCATCTTCTGTAAACCTAACCAATTATAGTATGGACTGCTTCAGTGGTAGAAGTGACATACGGTTCCAATATTAGGCTAACCCTCCTTCTATCTATAAGGATGAGTTTATCATTTTAAAAAAGACTGTGTAATGGTGTACTCGTTTGTATTCATATTGTCAGAGATGAAACTTTTCAGATTTTAATCTGAAATCAGATTTTTTCAACTTTTCCAATGAAATTTCAGATTTTTTAACGATCCCACAAAAATGAGTAGTTAACAATTTTTCTACACATTTTCTTTTCTTTTTTTCATTATAATTTCCATAAAAAGTCCATGAAAAGTCGATGAAAACAGCACGTAAAAATTTGCACAAGTGTGGTAGATTTAATCTCTTTTACCAGTCGTGAATGGAGTGATTCTACGGTAGAAACACCTAGACCAATGCTGATCAGATCCTATTCCGGCTTGAGAAAAAGGTTAAGTACTGACCTATGACATGGAAAATTCCCTGGGTCCCACGTTGATGTGCTGCGCTGCACCGAACAACGTTGTGGCAGCTCGGAAGGTCCAATTTCAGATTTGTTTTGCCAAGGCCAGTTTCATCTCTGTATTGTGTTTGAATGTGATTGTAAGCTGTTTTTGATTAATTGTTGTGGATTTGTTCTTGTCTTTTAAACTGTTTTTAACACATGGGGTGTTGATTTTCATGTTTTTAATCATGATGGTTAATAATAAATTGAATTGAATTGAATTGAATTGAATTGATCTGAACCGTCACAGACAATCAAAATCAATCCTCTTCCCCTGCCATGCCTTTTACCCAGGCTAGTCACCAGCAGTCAGATCACATTTTAAGCAAGCACTGTGACTTGTCAAATTCAGTCAACGGACAAAAACAGGCAAGTGTTGGGCTCTTTGTTGGACTTCCTTCTGGACTGGAAGGTCTAAATATTCATAGCAGTGATATTTCTCTCATTAAATATTCATGAGTTTATCCTTTCTTCCACCAATCAGGAGTATCCCTACCACCCGATCAATATCCATGACAAGAAGCGATTGGTGGACTTCCTTCTGGACTGAAAGGTCTTAATATTCATAGCAGTGATATTTCTCTCGTTAAATATTCATGAGTTTGTCCATCCTTCCACCAATCAGGAGTATCCCCACCACCTGATCAAGATCAATGACAAGAAGCAATTGGTGGACTTCCTTCTGGACTGGAAGGTGTTCAGTCACTACTTCAAGGAGGACTTCAGCGGAGAACTGCTCTCCTACTGGCGACAGGTAGGAAAAAATACATATATTTCTTGCTCCTGCATTATGTCACAGGGTTGTGAAAAAAGAGAAACCACATCGAAAATTGCAAAGACTAGTGCAGTGCCCGTCTAAAATGTGCATGTTCGGGAAGAGCAAATTGTTTTGCCGCTGGTATTGGTTGCATGTTTTTCACAGGTTGAACGTACACTCACGTCAAAGTTTGTGCCAAGTTTGAAGTTGTTTGGGCGAGTGGTTCTCGAAAAAGCTGCAAAAAATAGCGCAGATATTCACCCCTAGTGGACAATGGTATTGCCCTGCAGTAAGGTTGCTCAGTCAACCACCTAATGTGCCTGTGCAACCACCACGTACGTGTACATACGGAAACATGGTATGCAGTGCTATTCACCCATACTGGACAATGGTATCGCCCTACAATGCACGTGCGCGTGCCTGTTCTTTTTGCACTGCGTCATATTGATCGCGCGCACTTTAGCTTAAACATGACGCAAACAATTGAAAAGAACATCAGTGCGTGGTGGTCTGGGCTAAAATTTGCCACGTTTGCCTCAGAAAATGTTGCTCTTTTGCAGCTTTTTTGAGAACAGCTCGTCCAAACAACTTTTAACTTGGCACTGCACAGGTTGCGTCATATTGAGCACGCGCGCTTTAGCTTTACATGACGTAAACAATTGAAAAGAACGACAGTGCGTGGCGGTCTGGCTATACTGCCAGGTTAGGCTCCAGAAAATGCTGCTTTTTTGCAGCTTTTTCGAGAACCGCTCATCCAAACCACTTCAAACTTGACACTGCACTTCCTGGTGTCCTGAGCAATACACCTGCCGATTTTCAACTTCATACGGCGCCCGGTTCTTGAGATAATCGAGATACAGACAGACAGACAGACACACAGCCCGACACACAGAGATTTCTGGAATTATAGTTAGATTGGATATTAGAAATGACTATGGCCTTGTAAACTATGCATATAATTACTGAATAACAGATTATGTACAGAGCTGTATATTGTTATATCGTGTGCTTGGATACTGTAATTTCATTGGTCTAGGATGGTCACATGTCTGGACAATAAAAATGCATGTCACACACTGAGGGTGATATCGCACTGCATTCTTTGCGCTTGTGCATGCGCATGCCTGTAGAATCTGCTGGCACGCTAGCTTTGCGCAATGAGAACTGCAACGTCAAGCACTCGGCCTCACGATCAATTTAAATAATTCGTGTCTTTATTAACAAAACAAGACATGTGTAACAAAGCCTAGGACATTATTGTCACAATCACAGGATTCAATGAATAGCAATGTACCTTGTTGTAAAAAGACAATAAGGCAAGGCAATAGAACTGGAAAACCGTTATTTAAGAGGAAAACAAAACAGTAGTCGATTACGAATAATTTCTCAACTAAGAGAATGGTTCTGAAAAGAACCAGAGGTATAAACTCGACGTTCCGGTCGGTATGCTCTGTATCTCCACCATGCAAAGCCTCAAATCTTACTTAGTAGTCGATTAATTTAGGGTAAACAATACATTGAACAACAAAAATTAATCAAGGTAAAACTGGAACTGGTAATGAAAGAAATTCAGAAGAAAGACGAGAGGGGTCATTCATCCACTCTCTCGATCCAGACTGATATATAAATGTATTTGGAGTACCAAAACCTTCAGTTATCGAAGGTTACATCACAGTGATTTAATTTATTTGTAACACAGTTAAAGGTGCAACAATTTATCTTTTTGAGTAGTTGGTACAAAGCAATTGTTGACTGCTGTGATGTGGGATATGCTGTTTTTAACCCCCTCGGAGCACATAGCGTTGCTTTGGGTGCTATGCGCCCCTCGGGTGTTTAAAACATCGTATCCCACATCACAGCTAGCCTTCGGCTCTGGCCATGTACAGTGTTTAAAGCCGGCCAAGCACATATTTATTCCCACGGTTATATCATCTGTTTCCCTTTCCTTTTTTGTATTGGTTCTTGCCTGCATGCAGATCTTTAACTTTACCGTTTTTGTTAACTTAGGCTGCAGATAGCATGGCTGAGATGGAGAAGCTTTACGTGGCCCAAGTCGAGAAACTCACTGATGACCCTACCCTGAATGAGGAAGACCTCAGTCTGCTCTACGAGAAAGTCGGAAGAGTTCTGTAAGTTGGTCTTTTCCTGTTTGTTTTTTAGGGATTCTCAGTACGGAGGTTAAACAGTCGAGGTGTTCACAAGAGAATTTTGAGAGTAAGAAGGACAGTCAAATGAAAAAATGTGACCTCTTGTGACTTCATTTTTGACATCATTTTTGGTTAATTGTTTTTTGTTTTTATTTGCAGTATGCACGCTGGTCAGCTGGAGACTTGCTTCTCATTGTTGGAGAAGTCAATGGAGATTGAGAGTCGGTTGGGCCAGCGTCAGGAACGGATGGTGATCCTGTACGACCTGATAGCCAGCATGCACAATGAGGTGAGGGAGGAAAGATGTTTTCTTCTGTAACACTTCTTTTTACCTATGGTCTCCAGTTGCTGCGCAATAATGACCTAATCAGACCATTAGAACAGTTACCTGCAGCAGCTGAAGAACAGCAAAAGTCGTTCTGTACACCCTTTGTGTACCCATTTATACTCCAGCATTGAGAGGCAATTGTGGCAAAGTGTCTTGCCCAAGGACACAAACTGCATGATCCCTGTCAGGCTTCGAACCCACACACCACCACTACCCTTCGGCCACTGTGCGCTGGCATGAAAAACATACATCCTTGTCTTGGCTTTGACTTCATTTGTTTGTTTTTTCCCCTGAAGGCACAACGGCCACTGAGCAAAAAAACATAGAAGAGGGCAGTTTTCAAATCCTTTTTTTTTGTCTCCGACTTTAGCTTTAGGCTCTTGACTCATATTTTGGGATTTCTGACATGGCCAACAGTCCAGGGGTGAGACTTGTCAGAATTTTTGCCCGATTTCAGTTTTTTTTATCAGGAATTTTCTTGATTTAAGGATTTTTTAACAATTATTATTATTAATCATTTCTGGTAATAAAACCAAGGATTCCTCAAAAGCGCCCTAGGCACTGTAGCTCGCAAGCCTGAGGAAACCTGTGGAGAGAAGACAATGAGTTCCAGTTTTAGAGGTGGGAGGAAAAGCCAAGAAGAATATTCTGGGGAAAACCCACGGAATGAGGCAGGGACTGAAAACCCAATCCACATATTGGCCCAGGCGGGATTCGAACCCGGGTCACAGCGGTTGAAGGCGAGGAAAGTACCGCTACGCCAACCTTCTCTGAAAATCTGGAATTTCAGAAGTTTTACCATAAAGGTCTATAAAAGTATATAGAACAAAAGAACGGGTACTTTTAGGCAAGTACAAACATATATCATGGGCCCTACATTGCTTGGCGACTCTCGATCATGCCCTGTGTTAATTATTTTGTGGATTTTTCATATTCCCCCAATCTAACCCTCCCCCAATCTAGCCCCTTGTTACATGGTACTGACTATCATAGTAGCGTGCGCGTGAGACCCAATATCAGAGCAAGTTCCTTTGGTTCAAGCATATCACAGTTTATTTATTGGAATTGGAGATGAAGCCCTTTAAGACGGAGACAAAGCCCCTTTTTTGAAAATGACTACAATACAACCAGCATACAGCTCCACTCTATCAAAAACGCGCTCATAGAAAACAGCACAAAATCGGACGGAAAAGCGCCGTCTGGTAGCGCTCGGGAGCAATTACGCACAATGAACCATTTGCCATATGGCTGTATAGAAGTACTTGTATTCGTACTCGTACTCAGAATACAAGTACTCGTACTCGTATTCGGAAGTACTCGTACTCGTATTCGGAAGTACTCGTACTCGTATTCGGAAGTACTCGTACTCGTACTCGGGTACTCGTACTCGTACTCGGTAACCTAAGTACTCGGCAGTACTCGGAAAAAAGTACTCGACTACAACACTGGTACATAGGCTGCAAGGACCTTTTACTCAAAACTACCTGTGGGATCACAAAATATGAATGAGCTCACACGCAGTAATTTACCACTGCTCGGTGGTGTTCACCCAAGGTGTCTACCTTTGCCTGTGCTAGCATACAAGTACTCTCAATAGTCTGAGCACAGAGAAGAGCTCGGGTGACGTGTAAAAAAATCTCTGATTTCTGTCTGTACACAGAGATTGATATTACGTTACTTCTACATGGACAAGAAAATGATGCTCGACTTGAAGCCGGCTATTCAGTACCGACGGAAATCACTGGAACTCGGCAAAGACTTGACAAAAGATCGCTTCAAGGTAAGACAGTGAATGCGGATTTATCAGCCATATGGTTGCGAAGGGCGATTTCTAAAGGTTACGTCACATTTTTATTTTGAATGAAACTACATGCACACACACATGTGCACGTTGGCGGGCAAAATCTTTGAAACTTAATTTCTCCCGTTTGGAAGACCGTATCTTCATGCAACTTTCAGGGTTTATTTTCCTTATAATGATCTCAAGTATGTGCTAAAAATCGTTGTGATATGTTCTTTACTTTTCGTTGAAATTGGAAAAATAGGCTTGGCTACGTGCATATTTGAAAGTTGTAACACTGGTGTTAGCAATGTCTGCCAATCTTTTCAAGCCTCACAAATATTAATAAGGTTCCTGTCCATTATGGTGTGCAGTAAAAATTTGCATAAAAGCCTCCTTCACCAGTTATTAAAATTTGATAAATATCGCCCTTTTTGCCGGCTTCCATTGGTCAATACCGAGACCCACGCCAAGTCACGCCGAGTGACGCTAATGAATATGCTAATATACCCTTTGTTATTGTGTTGCCGGGCCGAAATTGGTCAACCGTAGCGCCTAGGGCACTTTGCTGAACAATGCACGTGGGTGGTTCGGCAAAAAACCCTTGTCAAAATTTTCCTTAGAGGTTGTTCCAGGTGTAACACAAGCGTTTGCAACAACAGATTAAGCTGAAATTCTTAATATATTTAGATGATATAAGTGTTCAACTACTCGTGAAATAACAACTTGAGTAGATTCTTAGAAATTGGTATAAATACATATATTTGGGGAAGTTTTCGATTTCTTCCAGATTTGAAGGTCAGCTTTACCAGCAACCAGTATTGACGTTTCGGCATCGATGCCAGCAATTTTTTCACTGACATAAAGTTTAGAATTATTTCTTCCGTTATAATTTTACATTCTAATCATACTTGGCATATTTTCCGAGAAACACAACGTTCAAAAGGCCATGTTTTTGGGGGTTCATGAATTTCGCTGCTCTGTTACAGGCATGCTTTCAACTTCGCAACCATATGGCTGTTATAAGCTTTGAAAAAGGTTTACTGTAATTTGCGGAATATAAGCCGTGTCGAGTATAAGCCGCTGCACGCAAAAAAACTGCAAATTAAGATTTGAAGCCAGCATATAAGCTGCACCGGCGTATAAGCCGCACCGACGGCCGACCGCAGCGGTTTCAATTTTGTAAGGCCTCCGAATTCTAGTCACAATGCTCTGACCAGTTCCATTTACACTACGAAAGCTATGAAAAGGGCAACAAAAGTTATATCAAATCATTTACAGTCAATACTCTTACAAACAAATATTGAAATTGATGATGAGAAATAAAAACCGGGAATTGCTGCCGGCTTGCCCTTCCGCTGTGCGTGGCCGGGCAGCCTGCGCCGGCGAATGACAACATTTTCCCGCACTTGAGAGAGTATGCAACCCACCCATGTGTCGTCTGACTGGAGCGCTACAGGTGGCTACAGATGCTGACTTGTTTTGTCCCAAGAATGAACAGGTCCGGTTTTACAACAAAACTTATCAAATTGCTGTGATTACTAACGAGTAGTAATGTCAAAAATTGAAGTTTCAATCGTAACTTCCTTCTGTCAACACGATGCTGATATTTGTATGGACGAATCCATTAATTTCGTAAGGGGTGATTTAGCCCCCGTTTTGACTTTAACATTGTTTCTTGAATACATTTCAAGAAAAAAATTATATTGTGACGTTGAACAACTGATTATTGAATAAAGAAATGATCGAACTCCATAAAAAATATTAGTTGTCTTTTTTCTTTTTTTAAGCAGCAGAAATATTGATAGTTATTGTTCCAAAGAAAGTACACCCCTTTATTACCACAAATGGTGTGGTCCATGGAGAATGCATGCAGCACTAGTATCACGTACAGCCGGTTGTCGAAGACAGCTTTCACTCACTCACGCATGGCAGGCCGGCCTAGTTTCTGCAGTACTTTTTACCACTGGTACCTTTTACGTGGGATGTGCTTTCGGTTTGTTAAAGACTTTCTTAATTGATTTACATGTATTTATTTCAGCAACAGGTCTTTTCTTATACCGGTACATTAAATACACATTTGAATCTCATTTTTATTCTTCAAGGCTCGGCGTATAAGCCGCTCTGTGTATAAGCCGCAGTAAACATTTTCATGGCCAAAATCAATTTATAAGCCGTGGCTTATATTCCGAAAATTACTGTACATTAAAACTCAAATAAATTAACCTTTGCCCTTTTAAAGGTAACATACAACATTTCCTTTTGTTATAATTTTCAGAAATGGATGGATTAGGGGGTTAGTATTTTATATCAAAAATTGTTACACTGACCTGTTTAAAGGTTTGTGTTCATAGATGCTGGGAAACCAAGAAAAAAAAATGCTGTTCTGGTTGTCTGATTTCCCCGACTGTACTTCAGACGAAGGGAATTGTCTGGGAATTATCGGGTCAGGGAACCAGACTAGCAGGTATGCATCCGTTCATGGATGTGTAACTTATTGCAAACAAAATGTGAACTATTGGGGGCAGTAAAATGGGGGCAGTATTTGAAAAAAGTCTTTCTTGGTCGACCCAACAAATGTTGTGTATTACCTTTAAGGTGGCCAGTGCACCTCAGTTGGACATGCCAGTGTACTCCGGTTGTGCAATTAGTGTAGTGTTGAGTTTTTAACTCTTTCAGTGCCCGCGAAATTTGAAAAGTTTAACCCTAAAGTGCCCAACTTCGAGCATTTTTGTTAATTGTTCGAAATTCTGTAAAAAAAAAAAAGTAAATAAGTTTTACTCACTAAACTTGTTGATGTTGCTCTCTGGTATATCCTTGATATATTGGAAATCAAAAGTAGTCACACACATAGTGATACACCCTGAAACACTGGCCTGAACACAGGGGAATTCCGCACTTTTTGCAGAAAATACGAGATTTAGTGCTGCGCCCTCTCGCAAGAACTGGAATGAAAAAATAAATACAGGTCATACATGCATGAAAATGGTACCATTAGAAAGAGCGAGAGCGCCCCCTTTTGATAACATATTTACTCTACCTCGTACATGTACGAGGTTTTGCAAATTTAAGTACGAACATTTCCGAACATTACCTCGTACATGTACGAGGTTGGCGCTTTTGTACTAACAAATATACCTCGTACATGTACGAGTTTGGCACTGAAAGAGTTAATGGATTTTTTTTCATGTCTCTAGTTTATGCGGGCCTTTTCTCTGGTGAAGCTGGCGTTCAACTTGCATAACTGGATCTTCTTGAGTGGTGACAGTAGTCTCTCTGCGTCAGAAGCAACCGACTTAGGATTTGACAGTCTGAAAGAAGCCAAGGAGATCTTTTATGAGGTGGGTTTCCAACCTAGAAACATTTGTTTTCCATATTGGCATGTATTTTTTGAGTCCCGCTACCCAACTTAGTGTAAGAGAGATATTGAGACTATAGTTGGGGTTTTTTTATCGTAGGGAGAGAGGCAATGGGAAGGCAAAAGCTGAACCTATAATAATCTGGTTTATAGCACATACAGCCTTGTTCACAAACAGTCCTGTTTCGGGGCCGAGGATGTGCAACCATTCCCACGTGGAATTTACCGCACACTACACGTAGCAGAGATGAATGTCTTCCGATTTAATAGTAATTCCGACTTTTTCTATTTATTTCCAAGTCCAATTTTTCTGATGATCTTGTCTCCTCCGCAAAGTGATTTTTAAAATTTAAATAAAAAAATATTGATGAATGTGGTACTGTATTGCGAGCGCAATTTTTTGTCTGTTTTACCAGGCCTCATCGCACAGACATGGTAGATGCACATAAGTAAGCCCGCAAAGGAGTAAAATACAGCTGGAATTTGTGACATGATTGAAACTACGTAAAGAGCTTAAAAGCTGTTGCACGTGGAGTTCAATTGTGGCAAAATCCTTGTGTTGTGTGATTTTCAGAGGTTTCAGATTTAGTTGTACAAAATGCTTTGAATGCTTCAAAAATGACAATGATGATCTTGAGGATGGTAAGTACAGCATAAAAGACAAAATTCACTGGCAGCTGTTGGAAGAAAAAGTTGATAATGTCCTGATTTTTTTTCTGAAGTACGTCAGTGGAGTTGTTCGAAGTTGAAAAATAATGAAACTTCCTTTGAAAAAGAAAAGTGTTGACTCCCCCCCCCCCCCTTCCCCCCAAAAAACCACACACAGGAAATGTTGTCAGATAAAATGAAGACAGAATGATACTAGAATGGTACTCCATTAAAGGTACAGTCCATCATTTGTAATTTGTGCACTTTGTCCGTTTGATGCAACAAACGTGCTCAAAATATAAAAAAGGCTGCTGAACAAGTAACCTGATGAAGTTTCAGCTCAGCTTCAGCTGTATATACCTTGAGAAAACAATATTCTAGGATCTCCATTTCAAATCTGTCACGCTGAGTCATGTTTTCAGTTGGGCCTGAATTCAGCGTCCGAGACACATTCACCCCGAATCGATTGCAGCTACGTGCTGTCGCGCACGGATCTGACGAATGATAGCAACCGCGCTGTGCATAGTGTCAACGCTTGTGTGCACTTTGCCCAATGAAAAAACAGAAATTTCCAACGATGCGTCAGTTACTTTTTGGATAGCTGCAAATGATGGACTGTAGCTAATAGCACTTATTTCTGAACCAGGTTTTTTTTTTATAGATATTTGCATGTTGCACGGGAGAAGGAAACTTGTTATTTTTTCTTAAGTTATTATCTAAACAAATAATTCCAAACTTGTTGTGTTTTGTTAATGTTGTTGTTTGTAGTTTGATGACAAGGCACATGTGGCTGAATGCATCATGAATGAGGCTTTGCTGAAGAGTGACCATCACAAAAAAGAAGCCCTAGAAGTAAGTTATCACGGTAGGGCTCTGATCACTGACCCACGTGACCCGGTTGAAGTAGGCAAAGATCGTATAGCGCACAGCACAATAGGTAGTAGGCAAACCTCCAAAGCTGTGATGGATGGCAAAAACTGTGAGAAGACTGTGGAGCCAACACCCACGATTGGGACAACCGTACACATGGTTGCTAACGTTTGCCTACTGCAATGGTGACCGATCACGGGAAAACCAGATGGTCACGTCCTAAGATGCGACCCCTATAAATGGACATCCGTACACAAGTATCCTCTCGGCAATTCCAAAGAGAATATTATGGGAGACCACTGGGAGGAACATAAGAAGTTTTTCCAGGGACACCAGATGCTGAAGTCTCCATGGTTTTGAGCACATAAGTCGTGCCCACTTTATGCCACAGGCATGAGAACTGTTGCACGAATGCACCTGCATTTTTATGCGATAAAGGAAGTCTTGTTAGAGGTGGGAGGAAAACACTAGACAGATACTCGGGGGATTACCAATGGAATCAGGTATGGACTGACAGTGTTGTAGGACTTGAGTCTGTCTTGAGTTGCTATTTCGGTGACGAGCAACCGTACCGTACTACACCACTCTCAAGGTGTTGCAAATAATAATGTTTGTTATAGGCCATCAGCCTCGGTCCAAAATTTTGGCAACCGGTATCAAAATTTTGGCAAGGTATACACCTCCAGAGTTGGAAAATATGTGATAGCATTGCAGCGGTGGCAGCTTATTAGGTGTTGTCACCCTTTTTCCAAAATGTCCATCGAAATGCTTGTTACCTCTGTAGGGGCGGTATACCTTGCGCATGCGCACTATAATCATTTATGCCCTGATTTGATACCAACAAAACCCCCAAGCTGAGGGCCTATTATTAACCAGTTCGCGCCGGATTATTTTGACAAGAATGGAACGAGGTGCGGGATTACTTTTCACTCGACCTCAAGCCGGACGGGTTGAAGCCATCACCCTCGGGCAGCACACTCATATTGCCAGCCTTGCTCGCTATGAGCAGGTATTTCTGGCCTTGCTCCCTGCATGTTTATCCATCGGCCGTTCTGAATACCGCAAAACCTTTGCGGGTATACACGTCATCTTGCGCAAACTAGTTAAACATACCCCATCTTATCTCGCAACAGCGCATCACTTGCATGTCGCCTACTGTATGTGTGTCCATTTCCATGCTCATACATGTAGATGTATAATGCATCGGCCTACATGTGCAGTATACACATCGGCAAATGACTCAAGTCTCAGACTCAGACTACAACAAAATGACTCAATATGGACTCTGATTTCAAGCAAATGGCTCGAGACTTAGACTCAGACTTCAACAAAATGACTCGATCTGGACTCTGATTTGAAGCAAATGACTTGAGACTCAGACTCAGACTTCAACCAAATGACTCAATATGGACTCTGATTTGAAGCAAATGACTTGAGACTCAGACTTTACTGAACCAAATGACTCAATCTAAACCCTGATTTTTGAAGCAAATGACTCCAGACTCAGACTCAGACTTCAACCAAATTACTCAATCTGGACTGTGATTCAAAGCAAAGGACTCCAGACTCGGACTTCACTGAACCTAATGACCAAATCTGGACTCTGATTTGAAGCAAATGACTTGAGACTCAGCCTCAGACTTCAACCAAATTACTCAATCTGGACTGTGATTCAAAGCAAATGACTTAAGACTTTGACTCAAGTCTCAACCCAAGTGACACGAGACCCATAGTCGACTCAAAGGACGTGACCACAACACTTGGGACTGAAACTCAATCCAAATGCGGACCTGAGTGGGGTTCGAACTTTAGCCATCGCAGTAGAAGTCGAGGAAAGAACCCCCGCACCTACCTGCTACCATTTTGTGGCATTCTTTTTTTTAAAGATGTACAATGAGGCTGAGGTGCTGTGCTACCAAGCCTGTGGAGAGATGAGCGTCCTGACTAGTCGTATCGTCATTAATAAGGCCATACTGCTGAAAAGAATGAGGAAGGTGGAGGAAGCCTACGACTATTTCTACCTCGGCTTAGTCATCAAAACTCAGGTAAAGCTTACCGTCGTTTTGATTTGTTTCAGGATTTGTAAAGAATCCCTATTGAAATCTAGACATCTACCTGTAGAGTTTTATGTAAAATAAAGAAATAGTATTTTAGGAGTGCCTTAAGGCAAATTGGTGAGTGTGGCCAAGTGGTTAGGGTTCCTCAATCATGATCAGAGGGTCAGGGGTTCGATTCCAGCTGCTGGCCATATATTGTGTCCTTGGGCAAGGTATTTAACCCCAACTTGCCTCTACCGGGGATTCATATCTGGCCTCTACCCACCACGTGTGAACATTTGACTTAATTTTGGGCCAAAAATCAGTGTTGTTGATGACCCCAGATATGGAAAACTGTTTAGATTTGTGACATTTGGGTAAAAAATTAAAATGTTTGGTTTTTCCCTGGATCCTGACTGAAGTGAGCTGAAATCTCTTGGGGTTTCATATCTGGCCTCTATTCACCTTGTGTGAACAGTTGACTTAATTTCGTAAAATTTGATTTTGTGCCAAAAATCAATATTTTGATGACCGCGGATATGGAAAATTTTTTAGATTGGGGACATTTGGGTAAAAAACTAAAACGTTTGTTTTCTCTCTGGATCCTGACTCTAGTGAGCTGAAATCTCTTGGGGGATTCATTTCTGGCCTCTACCCACCCGGTGTGAACATTTGACTTAATTTCGTGAAGATGGATTTTTGGGTCAAAAATCAGGTTTTTGATGACCGCAGATATGGAAAACTTTTTAGATTCTGGACATTTTGGTAAAAAACAAATGTTTGGTTTCTCCTTGTATCCTGACTGTGGTGAACTGAAATCTCTTTGGGATTCATTTCCGGCCTCTACCCAACGCGTGTAAACATTTGACATTTTTGTGAAATTCGATATTTGGGCCAAAAATCAGTGTTTTTGATGACCGGGGATGTGGAAAACTTTTTAGACTGGGGACATTTTGGAAAAAAACTAAAATGTTTGGTTTCTCCTTGCATCCTGACTGTGGTGAGCTGAAATCTTTTGGGGATTCATTTCTGGCCTCTACCCAACGTGTGTGAGCATTTTTACATATTTTTGTGAAGCCTTCATTGTTGCATTTGTTAAAATGGGAGAGTCATGCTTGTTTAGTTACGAGAAAAGGACAATGAGTCACATCAGTGGCACACCCCCGGGGGGGGGGGGGGGGGGGGGCCTCGATTCTCCCACGATTTGACCTTTGTGATTTGTATGTTGCCAATTTTCGAGTAGTAATACGGGTGTAAGTGGCGCAATAGGGGTGTAGGTGGCGCCACTGACGTCAAAATAGTCCTCCCCCTAAAAAAACAACACATTTTTTTAAACAAAATTGTGAGGACCCAAACTGGACCCAAACTGGACCCTCACTGGATACTGAATGAAATGAGTTGAACTCTTCAGGGAATTCAATTCTGGCCTCTAGGCACCTCGTGTAAACTTTTGAACAATTTTTGTCGTTCTGGATTTTTGGGTCAAAAACTGACTTTTTCGATGATGCCGGCTACGGAAAACGTTGAAGTTTTGGGGGCATTTGGTAAAAATTAAAAAGTTTTGTTTTCTCACTGGATACTGAATGTAATGAGTTGAACTCTTCAGGGAATTCAATTCTGGCCTCTAAGCACCTTGTGTAAACTTTTGAGCAATTTTTGTCGATCTGGATTTTTGGGTCAAAAACTGACTTTTTCGATGATGCCGGCTATGGAAAACGTTGAAGTTTTGGGGGCATTTGGTACAAAATTAAAAAGTTTTGTTTTCTCACTGGATACTGAATGTAATGAGTTGAACTCTTCAGGGAATTCAATTCTGACCTCAAGGCACCTTGTGTAAACTTTTGAGCAATTTTTGTCGATCTGAATTTTTGGGTCAAAAACTGACTTTTTCGATGATGCCGGCTATGGAAAACGTTGAGGTTTTGGGGGCATTTGGTAAAAAGCCAAAAAGTTTTGTTTTCTCACTGGATACTGAATGTAATCAGTTGAACTCTTCCGGGAATTCAATTCTGGCCTCTAGGCACCTCGTGTAAACTTTTGAGCATTTTTTGTCCATCTGGATTTTTGGGTCAAAAACTGACTTTTTCGATGATGCCGGCTATGGAAAACATTGAAGTTTTGGGGGCATTTGGTACAAAATTAAAAAGTTTTGTTTTCTCACTGGATACTGAATGTAATGAGTTGAACTCTTCAGGGAATTCAATTCTGGCCTCTAGGCACCTCATATAAACTTTTGAGCAATTTTTGTCCAGTTGGATTTTTGGGTCAAAAACTGACTTTTTCGATGATGCCGGCTATGGAAAACGTTGAAGTTTTGGGGGCATTTGGTAAAAAATTAAAAAGTTTTGTTTTCTCACTGGATACTGAATGTAATGAGTTGAACTCTTCCGGGAATTCAATTCTGGCCTCTAGGCACCTCGTGTAAACTTTTGAGCAATTTTTGTCCATCTGGATTTTTGGGTCAAAAACTGACTTTTTCGATGATGCCGGCTATGGAAAACGTTGAAGTTTTGGGGGCATTTGGTAAAAAATTAAAAAGTTTTGTTTTCTCACTGGATACTGAATGTAATCAGTTGAACTCTTCAGGGAATTCAATTCTGGCCTCTAAGCACCTTGTGTAAACTTTTGAGCAATTTTTGTCGATCTGGATTTTTGGGTCAAAAACTGACTTTTTCGATGATGCCGGCTATGGAAAACGTTGAAGTTTTGGGGGCATTTGGTAAAAAATTAAAAAGTTTTGTTTTTTTTCACTGGATACTGAATGTAATGAGTTGAACTCTTCAGGGAATTCAATTCTGGCCTCTAGGCACCTCATGTAAACTTTTGAGCAATTTTTGTTGAGTTGGATTTTTGGGTCAAAAACTGACTTTTTCGATGATGCCGGCTATGGAAAACGTTGAAGTTTTTGGGGCATTTGGTAAAAAATTAAAAAGTTTTGTTTTCTCACTGGATACTGAATGTAATGAGTTGAACTCTTCAGGGAATTCAATTCTGGCCTCTAGGCACCTCATGTAAACTTTTGAGCAATTTTTGTCGAGTTGGATTTTTGGGTCAAAAACTGACTTTTTCGATGATGCCGGCTATGGAAAACGTTGAAGTTTTGGGGGCATTTGGTAAGAAGCCAAAAAGTTTTGTTTTCTCACTGGATACTGAATGTAATGAGTTGAACTCTTCAGGGAATTCAATTCTGGCCTCTAGGCACCTCATGTAAACTTTTGAGCAATTTTTGTCGAGTTGGATTTTTGGGTCAAAAACTGACTTTTTCGATGATGCTGGCTATGGAAAACATTGAAGTTTTTGGGGCATTTGGTAAAAAATTAAAAAGTTTTGTTTTCTCACTGGATACTGAATGAAATGAGTTGAAGTCTTCAGGGAATTCAATTCTGGCCTCTAGGCACCTCATGTAAACTTTTGAGAATTTTTTTTCGATCTGGATTTTTGGGTCAAAAACTGACTTTTTCGATGATGCCGGCTATGGAAAACGTTGAAGTTTTGGGGGCATTTGGTAAAAAATTAAAAAGTTTTGTTTTCTCACTGGATACTGAATGTAATGAGTTGAACTCTTCCGGGAATTCAATTCTGGCCTCTAGGCACCTCGTGTAAACTTTTGAGCAATTTTTGTCCATCTGGATTTTTGGGTCAAAAACTGACTTTTTCGATGATGCCGGCTATGGAAAACGTTGAACTTTTTGGGGCATTTGGTAAAAAATTAAAAAGTTTTGTTTTCTCACTGGATACTGAATGTAATCAGTTGAACTCTTCAGGGAATTCAATTCTGGCCTCTAAGCACCTTGTGTAAACTTTTGAGCAATTTTTGTCGATCTGGATTTTTGGGTCAAAAACTGACTTTTTCGATGATGCCGGCTATGGAAAACGTTGAAGTTTTGGGGGCATTTGGTAAAAAATTAAAAAGTTTTGTTTTCTCACTGGAAACTGAATGTAATGAGTTGAACTCTTCAGGGAATTCAATTCTGACCTCAAGGCACCTTGTGTAAACTTTTGAGCAAATTTTGTCATTCTGGATTTTTGGGTCAAAAACTGACTTTTTCGATGATGCCGGCTATGGAAAACGTTGAAGTTTTGTGGGCATTCGGTAAATAATTAAAAAGTTTTCTTTTTTTTCACTGGATACTGAATGTAATGAGTTGAACTCTTCAGGGAATTCAATTCTGGCCTCTAGGCACCTCATGTAAACTTTTGAGCAATTTTTGTTGAGTTGGATTTTTGGGTCAAAAACTGACTTTTTCGATGATGCCGGCTATGGAAAACGTTGAAGTTTTTGGGGCATTTGGTAAAAAATTAAGAAGTTTTGTTTTCTCACTGGATACTGAATGTAATGAGTTGAACTCTTCAGGGAATTCAATTCTGGCCTCTAGGCACCTCATGTAAACTTTTGAGCAATTTTTGTCCAGTTGGATTTTTGGGTCAAAAACTGACTTTTTCGATGATGCCGGCTATGGAAAACGTTGAAGTTTTGGGGGCATTTGGTAAGAAGCCAAAAAGTTTTGTTTTCTCACTGGATACTGAATGTAATGAGTTGAACTCTTCCGGGAATTCAATTCTGGCCTCTAGGCACCTCATGTAAACTTTTGAGAAATTTTTGTCCATCTGGATTTTTGGGTCAATAACTGACTTTTTCGATGATGCTGGCTATGGAAAACATTGAAGTTTTTGGGGCATTTGGTAAAAAATTAAAAAGTTTTGTTTTCTCACTGGATACTGAATGTAATGAGTTGAACTCTTCCGGGAATTCAATTCTGGCCTCTAGGCTCCTCATGTAAACTTTTGAGAAATTTTTGTCGATCTGGAATTTTTGGGTCAAAAACTGACTTTTTCGATGATGCCGGCTATGGAAAACGTTGAAGTTTTGGGGGCATTTGGTAAAAAATTAAAAAGTTTTGTTTTCTCACTGGATACTGAATGTAATGAGTTGAACTCTTCCGGGAATTCAATTCTGGCCTCTAGGCACCTCGTGTTAACTTTTGAGCAGTTTTTGTCCATCTGGATTTTTGGGTCAAAAACTGACTTTTTCGATGATGCCGGCTATGGAAAACGTTGAGGTTTTGGGGGCATTTGGTAAAAAGCCAAAACGTTTTGTTTTCTCACTGGATACTGAA